GTCGACGAGGTTCCCCCACCTGGGGCGAACATTGTCAGTGGCATGTGGATTTTCAGGGTGAAGCGGCCGCCGGGTTCTCCGCCTGTCTTCAAGGCGCGTTACGTGGCTCGAGGCTTCAGTCAGCGAGAGGGAGTTGACTTCTTCCAGACCTTCTCCCCCACCCCGAAGATGACCACTCTTTGGGTGCTGCTGCATGTTGCTGCTCACCGTGACTACGAGCTTCACTCTCTTGACTTCAGCACAGCTTTCTTGCAGGGCAGCCTGCACGAGGAGATCTGGCTGCGCCGCCCCCCGGGCTTCACTGGGTCGTTCCCTCCTGGCACCCAGTGGAGCCTCCGGCGGCCGGTCTACGGTCTCCGCCAGGCGCCACGTGAGTGGCACGACACACTGAGGACTACGCTTGCGGCTCTTGGGTTTGCGCCTTCTACTGCTGACCCGTCGCTGTTTCTGCGCACCGACACTTCACTGCCGCCGTTCTACATCCTCGTGTACGTCGACGACTTGGTTTTTGCCACTGCTGACACTGAGGCTCTCGCCCACGTGAAGTCGGAGCTGCAGAAGAGACACACGTGCACTGACCTAGGTGAGCTGCGCAGCTACCTTGGCTTGCAGATCACCCGGGACAGAGCACGCCGCACCATCACCCTGACTCAGTCACATATGGTGCAGCAGGTCCTTCAGCGCTTCGGCTTCACCTGGTCCTCAGCACAGGCCACTCCTCTGGCTACAGGTCATTCGCTCTCAGCTCCACCTTCGGACGAGTCCGTAGAGCCGAGTGGTCCTTACCCAGAGCTAGTTGGCTGCCTCATGTACCTGATGACTTGCACTCGTCCTGACCTCGCGTACCCTCTTGGTCTTCTGGCTCGCTACGTGGCTCCTGGTCGGCACCAACCTGAGCACATGGCTGCTGCTAAGAGGGTACTGCGCTACTTGTGCAGCACATCAGGCATGGGGCTAGTGCTTGGAGGGACGAGCCCAGTTGTTCTCACTGGGCACTCAGACGCTTCTTGGGTTGACGACCAGGCTACTCAGCGGTCGTCACAGGGTTACACCTTCAGCCTTGGCTCTGGTTCAGTTTCGTGGCGTTCTACACGCTCGTCTTCAGTTCTCGGCTCCAGTTGTGAGGCTGAGATCTACGCCACAGCCATGGCTGCACAGGAGTTACGCTGGCTCACCTACCTGCTGACTGACTTGGGAGAGCAGCCTCGTTCTCCTCCAGTGCTGTACGTCGACAACAAGGCCGCCATTGCCTTGTGTGAGGAGCACAGACAGGAGCACAGAACGAAGCACATTGCTCTCCGTTACTTCCTGGCTCGAGAGTTGCAGCAGCGAGGCCAGCTTCGTCTTCGTCACGTGGCCACTCGGGCCAACACTGCTGATATATTCACCAAGGCACTTCCGTCTGGTGATCATCAGCGCTTTTGTACCCTGTTAGGCCTTGTGCCTACGCTTCCACACTTGCTGTAGTTTCTGCTTGTACTGTGATATATATATATATATATATATATACCTGCATGCTGGCTCTTGCTAGGTAGCCATCACTGTACTGTTATTGCTGCATATATATCTCTGCATGTGAACTGGCCTTGTGGCCATTTGCTTGTGCTCAGAATGTGTGGTGACGTTGTGATCCACCCTGAGCTTGTTTTGCTTCTCTTGACTGGTCTTGTGACCCGTTGCTCTCCCCCACTTTGCCTATGGGGGTATGTCAAATGATATATATGTGTGATATATATTGGTAGGCTGTAGTGGGGTAGATGTTATAGGGGATAACACTTTAGGGTTGTGTGTCATGTACCAAACTCTCTCGTCAATCGAACCACCTTGCCTAGCTATCTCGACAGATATCTGAGGGCCTGTACGGCTCGTTGGAAAGCTACAAGAGTGCTCTACTGCTTAGTACAAACTAGAGTTCCTGTTAACTAGAGGTCACGCCTCTACATCATTTTGGTCGCCTAGACCTAGAAGACAATCTTCCTTGAGATGTCTGGTGGCAGGCAGAGAGTATCTTGGAACCATGCCAGAGTCTCTTAGAAGCAAAGTCACCTAGTATTCCAAGCTACATCCCAGAGCGTGAGTTTCTTTCTTTCTCCGTCTGCGCTTTTCATGCCGCATCTCTGCCTTCCCCAAATCTCACCTCCTCTCCATCTGCCCCTCCTCGTGCCGACGCTCTCACCGCTGTTCACCGCATCAGACCTGCTAACAAACCGGGCACTGAGCAGGGCGACCTCGGTGCTGGTGTCGGGGACGTCAGCGGGGGGCCTGGCAGGATCCCGCTGGTTGGTGCACAGAAAGCGAGTGCAGTGCAGCACAGGGTACAGCTGTAACAGTGTACAGTGGCATAGTTGATATAGTACGGTACAGGAAAGGGTTTGGTGCATTTATGCCAGTATGGCTTATTGCACACGGCATAGCCACGTCGTGGCGGTGGAGTGTGGTGAAGGTTGCCAGGACTCCGATGAATGTTGCTGTAGCTGAATGGATGGCCCTGGGTAGTACTGATTCAGGGCCTCAGTTATCAGGATAATTTATCCTGATTCTCCTGAATTCAGGATAGGTGTCGTGTGCTAGTCCTGGAAAAACAGCATAACGGGAATAATTGTCCTGTAATTTCAGTATAACGGTAATTTTGCGTACTGAAAACTCAGGATAGTGTCGAATCTCGCTTTGAAGCGAGATGTACTGTACAAAAAATCTCCTGGGTTTCGGGGCCTAAAATGTGTACGGGCGAGTAAGAGTAAGCGTGAATCGAACAAGAGACCTTTCTCGTAACCCATTGTCGCTTTACCCGTTACCACACTTCACCTGTTACGCAATGTGAGCGCTAAAATAACAGCATATAAAAATAAATAGCACTGACATTTCAGGATACCTCACCCTGTGCAGCCCTGACAATTCAGGGCAAATTCTGATTTCCTAAAAACTGCCCTGAGGCCTCAGTGTACCCCCAAACGAATCTGAGGCCCTGTACTGATTCCTCAGTGTTGTACACTTGAGGAAATAAACTCAGGGGATGTATGATTTTGGTTACAACAAAGATAAATTTTGTGGTCTTCCAGATTATGCTGCATTTACATCGATACTAGCCCTTGTCTTCATGTGCGCATACCTTCATCACCATCTTCTAATATGTAGTCCCCTACAATTTGCTGGGACAAGTTACGCAGTCCTCTTCATATGCAATCTTCTACATTTTGATGTTATTACTGCGCTTCCTTTGCATCACCACTTTCAATAACGCTTTCCCCGCGATGTTCACGAGCCATTGCGACACTATGTTGGTGACCAAGTATGCAATGATGAAGTGCATTCTGTGGCCAACAGGCACTGCGAACGACTGGAGTTTTTCGTTCACAACTCCTGGGGTTTGGTATGCGAAACGACAGCGATTTTCGCTTGCGACTCGCAACTTGTTTGCGAGAGCCACCGCCATCCGGTGCTGCAAATGCGCCAGAGGTTGTGTTCCCTGTAAATTGGCAAATCCACGTTATGCTTGCGTTCATTCGCCGGCTGCCCAGGCGATTGTCGTCAAAGCTACTGAGAGAGAATTGGGCGACCCGACACACTTCGAGCCAAAATAGCGAGGAAATGACATCGCATGCCGTAAGTTAGCTAACATCGCATCGCGGCGCAGTAATGACCGCTAGCCTGTTAGGAACGACGTCAATCCTGGCACATCTCGCAGCTACACGTGTCACTTGCTGTCCAGCACAGACAGCTGAGACACCCAGCCAATAAAATTCAGAGACGAACACTGTTCCAGCGGAAGCCACCAACCCGCAGCATTTCGCTCGCTTCGCTAACTACCCGCCGAGCTAGTCGCTACAGACGACCCAGTTTCCATCATGGCCTTACGAACGACTCCCCTTCAAAGGTTTTTCCTACGGATTCGGCTACTGCTGCCTGTGGAGGGCCCAGTCTCCCCACACTTGGCCGTTTCATTTCACCCCGTGCCGCGCTGCATGATCCCCGTCCCGTACCGCATTTGGGGAGCCAGCCACTCGTTTCCCTCAGCCACCCGTATCACTGGTAGTAGCGCTAATTACCTCTTTCTCTGTCGTCTCTTTTTTTTTTTTTTTTTTTCCTCGCCATATTGCGCATACAATCCCGCCGTCTCGTAATTTCCATCGTGATTCCGTAGCCGTCGATCTCGATGCGAGGATTATTAGAAACCAATTATCGAGTTCGCATTCCAGCCATCCACGTGGCATGGCTAAACGCCGTGGCGCTTTTGACCCTGCTAGCGGTGTGCCCTTCTAGATTGAGCACGGTGCGGCAAAAAAGGGCGCGACGAGCATGGAGCGATCCACGCCCCGCCACGTTGGTTCTTCTTCCAAAGAACAAATACGGAGCGCGATGCCTGGATGGAAGGTATGGAGTGGAAAGCTTTTTCTGGGTCCTGTATCCCGCCAGAGAAAGCATTTCCAAACTTTCACTAACTCTATCGAAGGCAATGGTTATGCCCCTCACAGAGCATTCTTGCACATTCGGATATGTACATTCGGATATGCACAGTCGGATATGCACATTCGGATATGCATAATCGGATATGCACATTCGGATATGCATAATCGGATATGCACAGTCGGATATGCATAATCGGATATGCACAGTCGGATATGCATAATCGGATATGCACAGTCAGCTGGCTCTCAGTAGATATTCCCCCCCCACCCAACTCCCTCAATTTGCTTCCCGCTTCCCCCTCCCCCGTGCCTCCTCTTGTCGACCTCGCATCTCCCCCAGTCCGCCGGGGTACTACCTGCGGGAGGCGCCTTGGAAGGGCGCCAGCGCGTGGCACATCCACTTTTGGGACGTCTCAAAAGTCCTCATTCCTCTTCCCCCTCCCCCGCGTCTCCGTGTGTCCCCCTCGCGTCTCCCCCAGTCCGCCGGGGTACTACCTGCGGGAGGCGCCTTGGAAGGGCGCCTCCACGTGGCACATCCACTTTCCGGGCGGCGGGTGGTGCGGTAACCGAAGACAGAGCCGCATTCGAGCCGGGATGCACCTGGGCAGCACCAGTATGTGGCCCAAATCCAACAACGTAAGTGGCGGTAGACTTCTAAGTCGACTCAAATGTCACCCAGTGCAGCATTCGAGCCCGGATGCAGCTGGGACGCACCAGTATGTGGCCGACAACCAACAACGCGAGTGGTATCTTGGTAACATCGAGATGACTTTCGAGGTGACTCAGAAAGCCTCCTTGGCAGCACCAGCATGTGTCCAAGAACCAGTAACGTGAGTTGGAGCATGGAGCAACTTTGCCAACAATGTTATTCCTTTTAATTGTGTGGCCTTCTCCTCCCGCCAAGGGAACTTGGGCGCGGGACCACTTCGGGGGCATCTGAGCAGCGGCGGCGGACAATCAGAGAACTGATGATCAGGGATCTGTTAATTAGTGGCGGATAATCAGACCCAGAAGTGTCGCTTGTTTATGCCACCCTGCCTGCGTTCTCCCCCTCGACATCCTCCCCCCACTCTCCGACTCCGCCTCCTCTTCCCCCCAGGCCACGTGGGCGCAGGGTCAATTCATGGGCATCCTGAGCAGCAGCGGCGGATAATTAGACCCAAAAGTCGCTTGTTTAGGCCACCCTGCTTGCTCCCCCACGACACCCCAACCCCCGCTCCCCGCCTCCTCTTCCCCCCAGGCCACGTGGGCGCAGGGTCAATTCATGGGCATCTTAAGCAGCAGCGAGGCGCTGAACCCGTTCTTCGCGGGGTGGCATCTGGCCATGGCTGTGTACTGCGATGGGGGCGGCTATGCGGGAGCAGCCGGGCGCGTGGCCGTGGGGGAGGGGCACTACGTGCACATGGATGGGAGCAGGATCGTCAGCGCTATCATGGATGGTGCGTTGATCGTCTGGGATGTGCATTGCGTGGGAAGGTGATAGCGCTGCGGCTGCTGGGGGATGTGCGTTGCGTGCGGTGCTGGTGTCTTTGTCTATGGTTGGTGCTTTCGTTCACGTGCCTCGACAAGCAATCATTTGTCTCCGCCCTTCTCGCTTCCTCTGTGTTCCCACCTGGTACCTCCTCTCTGTCTGTCCTTTCTCATGCTTCCTCTGCAACCTCATCAGGTTTTCAGACGTCTCAAAAGTCATCCTCTCTCTGTGTGCCCCTACTTATGCCTTCTCTGCGACCACATCAGACCTGCTGGAAAACCGAGCAATTGTAAGGGCTGGCAGTGATGCGCCTCTGTGACTCGCTCGCTGCTCTGCTGCCCCGCGCCACCGTCAAATGCCTCCTCGACGGCTCCTTCTTCCCCGGTACGCGTCCCCAGCTCGTTCTTCCAGGGCACACTCCCCTTCTCTTTTGTCCCAGGTACGTGCCCCTTCCCTTCCTTTCCTCCCTAGTAGGTGCCATAACCCATCCTTTTTCTGCACCACACACCGCTGGCCTCTCACACCCACCTCACCACATCTCACACACCCCCCCACTCCACCCTTTTGCATGCACGCCCCTCCCCCTCTTCATTTCTCCCGCTCTCCCTCTCTCTCTCCCCCAACCCCCCACATCCCCCCCCGCAGACGCCCCGGACTGCACGGGGCGAATGCACTTCCAGAGCCTGGCTCAGCAGATCTCAGCGCTTCACCGATTCTCCCCGCAGTCCCGCTGCGATCAAGGTAACGAGTTTCAGAGGCCCTGATTTTGAGGCACCTATGAAACTGCGTGCGCTTTCAGCGCCTCCTCCAAGGTGGGCCTCCTGCTCTCATGCAACCAGTTGAAGTGCATGTGCTGCTGCTTCCGTCGCTCAACCCGTCGTACCGCTGCTAAGTCACCTCTTAATCCCCTGACTCACCCTCTTGCCATCCTGACCGCTTTCTGTCTTTGGTTCATTTTTGTAACGCGTTGTTCTCTCACCAAACCTCGTTTCCGCATGGGAGGGGCAAAAAGTTGAATTGGGGGTTTCTGGCGCGTGGCGATGGTAGCACATGGCACTGGGGCGGCTTGAGCTCGTCCTAGAGTCCTAGGGGGGTAGAATGTTCGCATCTCCTTCTTACCTCGTCCCCCTTGCCCGCTAGCTCGCCAACCTAGTGCCATGGGCTACCATCGCCTTCCGTTTTCACTGCATCCTTCCACCTTGTTTTCACCTTTCAAGTCTTCCAGTCTTACCTGCCTTTGCTTCATTTGTCGCTTGTGATCCTTTTCCATGGCTTTATTCCATCCTGACCAGTTTCCCGCATCCTGTATCCTTTATTCTCATTCTCACCAGCCCATGCCCTTGTTCCAGGAGGGAGGGCAGTGGGATGACGCACGGCCTGCGTCCTGCATGCCCTGCTGACCACGCCACTCCTTCACGCGCCAAACGAGCTCCACTGGCGCTGCTGCTGCTGGGAGGGCTGCTGCTGGGAGCAACTGCTGCTGCTTCCGTCGCTCAACCCGTCGTACCGCTGCTAAGTCACCTCTTAATCCCCTGACTCACCCTCTTGCTACCTGTCTTTGCTTCATTTCGTAACGCGTTGTTCTCTCACCGCATGCTCGTAACCAAAACTTCATTTCCGCATGGGAGGGGCAAAAAGTTGAATTGGGGGTTTCTGGCGCGTGGCGATGGTAGCACATGGCACTGGGGCGGCTTGAGCTCGTCCTAGAGTCCTAGGGGGGTAGAATGCTCGCGTCTCCTTCTTACCTCGTCCCCCTTGCCCGCTAGCTCGCCAACCTAGTGCCATGGGCTACCATCGCCTCTCTGTTTTCACTGCATCCTTCCACCTTGTTTTCACTTTTCAATTCTTCCAGTTTTCCCTGCCTTTGCTTCATTTGTCGCTTATTCCTGCGTCCTGTGTCCTTTATTCTCTTTCTCACCAGCCCATGCACTTGTTCCAGGACAAGGAGAGTGGAACTCTCAAGAGCATCACGAGAGGAGCAACACTCCAAGGGCGACACTCCAAGTGCACAACTCGACACAGCTGTGGCCCATCCAACCACGGGTTTGCACACTCGTTTCGCATTCTTACATTCGTCGTGATTACTTCAATACTCCTGCTGTGTTGTTGTGTCCTGCCTTTGCTTGCTCACTTTCTCTCCCTGCCGCTTTCACCTCCGTACCTACTCCTCCCTTCCGCATACCCATCCCTGTTGCTGCTGTTGATGGTGCTGGTGCTACTGCTGGTGATGGTGCTACTTCTGTTGGAGCTGCCGCATGCAGAGCAGCACTCAAACTGACACCTGAAGTGCGAAATGAAGCACAACACAGCTGTGGTCCATCCAGCCTCTGGTTAGCACATTCGTTTCACATTCATGCACATCCGTTATTGCTTCAAGACTCCTGTTCTCTTGTTGCTCCCTTTGTTTGCTCGCTTCCTCTCCCTGCTTCATTCACCTTCCCTACCTGCTCGCCACCCCCCTCCCTCCACCCATTTCTTCCTCCCACTACCCATCTCATTCCAGCAGCGTAAATTCCATTGGTGTGGTAGGGTGCGATGGTGCGGGCGGGTGCTGCTGATGATGGTGATGGTGATGGTTGTGGTGATGGCAGCTAATGGTGGCGGTGGAGCGAGTGCTGCTGCCGATGGTGATGGCGCTTGCAGTCCCGCTGCTGCTGCTGCTGGTCCCACTGGTACGACTGGGGTCGCACGGCCTACTGACATGCAGAGCAGCACTCCAACTGACACTTCAAGATTGGAGCCGCTCGGCCACAGTCTCACCAGCTCGGACACTCCACTCTGGTGAGCCACGCAATACCATTCACTCCACTTCTCGAACAATACCATCCGATCAATCCGTCATAGAACAATACAGCAATTGCAGCTGTGCGCGGCTTTCTCGCAGGAAAGCCAAGGCAGGCTCTGCTTGTCCTGTGATGCACTCTTCAGATGCTGCAAGCAAGGCAGTCTCTGCCCTTCTGACTCGCTCCTTGCGGCCTGCCCTGTGCCCGCTTCCCTCGCTTGCAGGGCGACAGATGGCTATGGTCAGGAGAGAAGACTGAAGAATGAAGACTTAGGAGAGGCTCTAGGATGCTCTGTGTAGGTTGAACCTTGCTCGCTACGAACCCTCCCCCCGCCCCAACCCCCCCACCTCCCCACCTCCCCACCCTTCCTGACTTCCTTGCCTTCGCTCCCCGTTCCCCCCCCACTCCCTACGCTTCCACCCACTAACCCATCCATCTCTCTAGCCCACGACCCACCCCACTAATTACAGGGCAATCCCTCTCTGACTACAGGGCAGCGCCTAACTACAGGTACGCTAACCCCACTCTGACTACAGGGCAGCGCCTAACTACAGGTACGCTAACCCCACTCTGACTACAGGGCAGCGCCTAACTACAGGTACGCTAACCCCACTCTGACTACAGGGCAGCGCCTAACTACAGGTACGCTAACCCCACTCTGACTACAGGGCAGCGCCTAACTACAGGTACGCTAACCCCACTCTGACTACAGGGCAGCGCCTAACTACAGGTACGCTAACCCCACTCTGACTACAGGGCAGCGCCTAACTACAGGTACGCTAACCCCACTCTGACTACAGGGCAGCGCCTAACTACAGGTACGCTAACCCCACTCTGACTACAGGGCAGCGCCTAACTACAGGTACGCTAACCCCACTCTGACTACAGGGCAGCGCCTAACTACAGGTACGCTAACCCCACTCTGACTACAGGGCAGCGCCTAACTACAGGTACGCTAACCCCACTCTGACTACAGGGCAGCGCCTAACTACAGGGCATGCAGAAAGGGATAATGAACAAGCAAAGCAATGAATCTATGCGGAATGGAAAGAACAAAGAATTCTGGAATGTTAGCTTTGTGGTCTGTGTGAAGGAAGGGATAGGAGGATTAACAGGATAAGCTTAACTTGCTGTAACTCTTGTTCTGTTATCATAGGCTTTTAGGCTGCAGGCTATCTCTATGTCTAGTACAGCTGGTAGGGTGTATGCTGTTGGCTGTATCTCTAGGTATAGTACATGCTGTAGGCTAAAGGCTGTGGGCTAAAGGCTGTGGGCTGTAGGCTGTAGGCTGTGGGCTGGCTGTCTCACCTTGTATGCAGGTTATAGGAGTGTCGTGGCAAAAGAAGAGGAGGAAACGAGCAGAGGACGGCCATGCAGAGGCGAGGTGGAAGCACAGGAAGCAGAGAAGAAGTGGAAGGGCAGGAAGACAAGAGGTTGCTTCAGCAGTCGTGGTAAGATCTTTCTCGCCCTTGTATCTTCGCTTGGTTTCCATAGCCTCCTTTACTTGCCACCTTTACTTGCCGCCTGCACCTGGCTTCTTCTCTCTTGCCACTCCTTCATCTCATCTTAAGTTGTTGATCTGCCACTGTCCCAGATGTTCCAATGCCAAGGGAGCAGAGAAGAGGGAGAAGAATTGTAATGTGGTAAGTCCCTCCAACACTTACCCTTCTTGTCCTCGTCGCCTAGCGCCTTCAATGCTCTACATGCCATTGCCACTCTGCTTCACTCTCACCTGTCTCTCCATCTCCACATTTGATTCCCTCGGCCCAACTGTTTCTTGCCTCCCACTCATTCTGCTTGCTCCCCACCCACTCCTCTCTGCACACCTTCACGTTTCTCCTCATTCCATTCCTGTCACCACTCTCCCCCTGCTGTGGTTTTTTCCATCTGTCTCTCCCTTGCCACTCCTTTCGTTCATGCTTGATTGTTCCCACCCACTCACTCACCTGCGCCTCTCCCATCCAACTGTCACTCCATATATGCCATCGCTGCTTCTCTCATGTCTTTCCTGCCTCCTCCTCTGCCCTTCATCTTACAGTCAAGCACACCATGGGAGTTGCAGCAGCAGCAACGCTATCAACTGGCAACAACCAAAGGCGAATCAACAGAGTCCTCTTTCTGTGGTACGGTCTGCATCCTTTCCCTGCCCCATTCGCATAAGTGCACTATGCTTCTTCCAATCTCGCCCTCCTTTCCTTCATGCCACCTGCTCTCCTCTCATATCCTTCTCCCTCCTTGTGTCTCTTCCTTCAGCCAGGATCGGCAGTGGTGGCATGGGACGGACTTCAGGCAAGTCAGACAAGCCAGATCATCATCGTTTTATCGTAAGGCTGCTCACTTAACTCTCTTCTCCTCGACCCCAAGCCTCGACGACAGCCTTTATATCTTTTATTTTCTCCGATGTCCCCTCTACTTTCCGTACTGTACACCTCTTCCTCTCCTTTGCTCCACATGGCTTTACCTCTCATGTTTTCTTCTTCGGATGTGATGAAAAGTGGTGCGCGGAGAAATGGCTTGTCAGGAGTAACGGAGTGCCGCCTGCACTGCTCTCCTATCCTCCTCCCTCCCTGCGTTTCCTCCTTCAGGCAAGGACTGCAGTGGTGGCAAGGACTGCAGTGGTGGCAAGGACTGCAGTGGTGGCAAGGACTGCAGTGGTGGCAAGGACTGCAGTGGTGGCAAGGACTGCAGTGGTGGCAAGGACTGCAGTGGTGGCAAGGACTGCAGTGGTGGCAAGGACCGCAGTGGTGGCAAGGACCGCAGTGGTGGCAAGGACCGCAGTGGTGGCAAGGACCGCAGTGGTGGCATGGCATGGGACGGAACTCAGGCGAGGCCAACTCAGACAAGGCCAACGTGTGCCTCTTCCCATTGTAAGGCTGTGCACCCAACCCTCTTCTCCTCTGCTGATGACGGCCTTTCATTGCCCTTGCTTCTGCTTGTACCGCCTCCTCTCCTCTGACCTCCATCTATCTGCCTTCGCGTTCCTTGCTTTCCTTCATGCCCCTGTTTCATGAATGCACTCATATCATGTAGTATCATATCATATCTAATCATTGAGTGGGTGCCAAATTATATACATCATATCCAGACAACACACAGCACATCAAATCATATATGATATTGTCGTGTCGTGAAATTCAATTCTCGTGTGCCTTACCTTCTCCTCTCGTCTGCTTGCAGGACAACCGAATCAGTTCCTTCCATGTGGCAGCCAAGGCAGGAGTACGAAGACAATTGAATTGGCTTGGAGCTGAATCAGTTTAAATAGGTTATTCTGGTAGGATATCTAGACTAGTAACTCTCTCAGGTACGGTATCCCCTCCCTCCACCCCCCTGCATCGGACTTCCCCCACACCCTCCTCCCCCAGTCCCTTACCCCACGGCCCCTGCACTGCCCCTCCCTCTTCTTCCCCTTGCTGCCCACCCACCTCACCTCAGCGCCCCCTGCGTAGGCTAACCAGAGGACTCGACAGGGCTCGTGCACACTAACCACAGGGCTCGTGCATCATGACGCACTACCAACAGGGCACGTAGAATTGAGCACACTAACTACAGGGTGCGTGAGTAGAATCGAGAGCACTTACTGCAGGACATGCAGAATCGAGCACACAAACTACAGGAGCACAACAACAGCAGGGCTTGTAAAATCGACCGCACTAGCGCCAGGAGCCATTACGGTAACTGGAGGGTTCATAACTAAAGGCTTGAAGTTTAAGCACACTAACTACAGGGCTTATAGAATAAGCACACTGACCACAGGGGTTGTAAATCTGAGCATAGGTGCTATTCCGCTCACACAATGCTAGAAACCGCTTGTGACATATTGGTTTCATATAGCATATAGATTGGTTGGTCTTGCAGGATGGGCCAGCTGGTGTATCTATACGCGAAACCTGAGCTGTGAGGGGCACATAAACATTCAGAAGCGCAACCTGCGTCGTGAAAGCACCGTCGTCCAATCAGAGCCAATGGCAGCTGCTTGAGCCGTGGGCTAGCATGAAAAGCTAGCGGCGGAATTAGCAACATATTCGGTCAATTCGAACTGCGATCCAATCTTCACGGTGCGTGTTTGCAAATGCGATCTTTTCGGGCAGAACCACGCGGCTGCCCGTATAAAGGTCAGGTTGGGGCTCCCCGTGTTTAGGGTTGGGGCTCCCCTAATCGCATGCCATCCAGATGGGGTTTATTTTTTCTGACCGCGGGCAAATATCGACCCCTCAGCTTCTTCCACTGGGGATCGCATTTGCGAACCGCGCTGGCTAAATTGGATTGCAGCTGAAGTTGTCCCCAACATATTTGGTTCCATTTAGCATATCACGGCGCGGACCGCGACATTCGTGCATGGCGGGTGGGATGGTTTCCACGGCAGCGCGGAAGCAGGTCATGCATTGACTGCCGAGGAGGAACCGCAAAGGATGGTTGGATGATCTCGAATCCTGGCTTCGGGCCCGTGGAACACATTCACGGCTCGTTTCTTAGGTTTCTTGTCCTGCTTCATGCAAGCTAGGGCTCTTCAAACGCAACGCGTCATGATATGTGGCGCGCCAACGTTACAGCAGCAGCAAGCAGCATCATGCGTAGATCGGAGCACGGCGCGCAGGCAAGGCGGAGCGAGCGGGGACGAGCGTGAGCATGAGCAGGTCTGTGAAGGGAGGCGAGCGAAAGGCGTGGTGCGTCGTTGCCGCTGATTCTTGGAGAGAGAGAATGCCGTCAAGCTTTTCTTTGATTTGGAAGAATTCGAGCAGGAGAGCCACAACTAGGACCTACCGCGGCCTCAGAACCTAATTAGGGCAACTGTTCTCTCCCCAAGTGACTGCGAGAGTCTGCGAATATCATCGCTCCTCCGCCTTCCCCGGCTTGGCTGATCTTCCCGCACGATAGTAACCTCACCCTCTCCCTCACCGCCACCGTCACCCCAACCATCGACCTCACCCGCAACCATGTGTGTTCTCCTGCCGTGCGCCGACCCGACCACGCCGGGTGTTTGGTGGCGCGACGACGCGCAGTGGCGCCGCTACCCGCCGCACCTCGAAAATTCCGTGCGCAATGCCATTGCCGGGGGCCTCCCGTCGGTCGATCTCGGCACCTTTGCGTCCGACGTGTACCCTAACGGCGCGCGCTATACCGCGGATCTGCGCGCCATGAAGCAGCGGAACGTGCAGAGCGGGTACACGCGCCAGATTAAGGTGATTGGCGCGGCGCTGCCCGCTCCCGCGCCGTCCCAGGCCTTGGGAATGCCGAACCAGGTAAAGCGACCCTTGGAGGTAACAAGATTGCTGTACCTATCAAATCTCTTGCTTGACGACCGCAAAAATCTCTTCCAATCTTTCTGGGCGCCTTGAATCAGATTATCCTCATCAGCACGCCTTAGTTCAATTCTGGGACTACGTGTGTCGAATATCACCTCTGGAAAATTCTCGTACCATGCTGTCATGGTGTGCACTCCCAGGGCCTTCAGCTGCCGGGGGGGGCACCGCTGCCAACCATTCACTGGCGCGACAGTCGCAACAACCTCCGCGAGTACGACGCAGCCACGGCCCGAGCCATCTTCCGAGCCGGCGCGCAGGGCTACATGTGCGCGCAAACCGCGCCAATCATCACAGACGCGTACCCTCTGGGCGTGGTGTACACTATTGATCTGCAGCGCATGGTGCAGCGGAACCCGTTCACGGGGCGGGAGAGGGATGTGGTGGTGCAGTTTCCACACAACCCTCTTGAGCTGCTCAAGCTGGCTCTGGGGGCCACAGGACAGGACCGCAAGCAGGTGAGGGTTGCGAGGATGGCAAGCAGGTGAGGGTGTTGGCGTTATGGAGTTCTGGCCGAGTGGGTAAGGACCGTAGAGGGAGAGATGTGGTGGTGCAGTTTCCACACAACGCTCTTGAGCTGCTCAAGCTGGCCCTGGGGGCAACTGGGCAAGATCGCAAGCAGGTGAGGGCTGTGAGGAAAGATGCGTACCCCTTGGGCGTGGTGTACACCATTGATCTGCAGCGCATGGTGCAGCGGAACCCGTTCACAGGGCGGGAGAGGGACGTGGTAGTGCAGTTCTCCACAACCCTCTTGAGCTGCTGAAGCTGGCTCTGGGGGCTACAGGGCAAGATCGCAAGCAGGTGAGGTCTGTGAGGAGTGAGGAAAGACGCATACCCCTTGAATGTGGTGTACACTATCGATTTAGAGCGCATGGTGCAGAGAAATCCGTTCACGGGCCGGGAGAGGGATGTGGTGGTGCAGTTCCCACACAACCCTCTTGAGCTGCTCAAGCTGGCCCTGGGGGCGACAGGGCAGGACCGCAAGCAGGTGAGGGCCCACGGTTGGAAAAGCATCTTCAGATTTCTTCTATTTTCCTTCTTTTCCTTTGATTTTTTTTTGTCTGTAGGGATGTTGTATCCGTCCTTGATACATTCATGGGTCGGTGAATTGCCTTGATGATGCAGTTATTAGGCGCAACACTGGAAGCTTTCTGTTCAGAGGACAATGTGATGAAGATGCTGGCGGGAAAGATTTCGCCGTACCAGATCATTGCGAAGCGGCGCAATCCGAACCTGCAGCTGGGGCAGCCGGTGTTTGACAAGTTCGTGGAATCCATGGAAGGGATCGCCACTGGCTGCGCCAACCTCAGCCCCAGTGAGTTGCAATGTTTGTGGTGAGGCAATCAATTCTTGGACTCAAACACTTGTGCTTTTTAAGTCGAGTCAAGTCAAAGTGGGATAGTGATGTAGCCCCCAGCCTGCAGCTGGGGCAGCCGGTGTCTGACAAATTCGCAGAGTCCATGGAAGGGATCGCGACTGGCTGCGCCAACCTCAGCCCCAGTGAGTTGCGAGGCAGAGCTGGTGCCTGCGTGTAAACATCTCTGTGTGAGGGTCTGAGGGCTGGAGGAGCCTGTGTGTGAGGGTGCAGCGGCAAATGGACTATTGAGTCTTGGTGAGCAATGTGGGTAGTGGCCAGCCTGGCAGGTCTGGAGATCTCCTCACGAGTTAGCCCTCCTTACCTCTTTCCATCTTCTTCTTATGACGACCTGCTTTCTGCATGTTCTCCTCCCCCTTGGTAACCAGGTAACTTGATCGATGGACAGACCCAAGCAAGCGGCCTGCCACTCCCTCTGCAGCTCGCATTCCATGGCACCCCGCCTGAAAACATCAACTCAATCTTCAAGGAGGGCATGAGGGCCAGCCGGCATTGGTTTGGTTGCCATGCAAGCGTTAGCAGGTCATATGTCACTCCTTCACGCTCAGGCCCCGCTGGGCCTGTGTGGAAGCTCATTCTCTTCGTGCTGCTCATGGTGCAGACTGTGATTTCCTCGCGGTCTGATAGTGTGGTGGTGATGACCAGTGCTCACCACGAGCTGCCTGTGTATGAGATTACGTTTCAGGGTTAGTGGTGGACGAAGGATGTGAAGTGTTGTACCGTAGTTCTGCAGCCAATATGCTTGGCTGTTAGGGAGGATGAATAACTTGTGTACAATACAGTAGCTTGAGAAGAAATTATGAATGGAAAGTGGGATAGAATATGCCAACCTTTTCACTCCATAGCCATTATTATGAGACTCCTCTGCCAGCCGGTATATTCGCCTAGATACTGTATTGCCCTAACTCCCCTGATGTCTCTTGACTCGACTCGTGCCATTTGTGGTTGCAGCGAGGCTGTTGTAGAATTGACCAATCACGAACAGTCGACACTTCCGAGAATGGCCATCCTACAGAACAGCGAATGACGGCTCCAACGAACCACCCTTGAGACCATCCCAACCTTTCTCACCTCTCTCAAACGACCCCAACCTCCCACAATCTCGCTCAGGTTGGGCGAGATGACAGTGCCTGGTCTGCTGTCTGGTGCTTCCATCCCACGGCCTGGATGTTGGATTCGAGATCCCCCACCTTGGGTGGGAATGGGAACTCCTCGAGAACCGTGCTCCCGAGGAGTGCTCGCCAGTGCGTATCTCCCCGAGGCTTCTCCCTCCATTGCACCGGAGGGCACTCGAATATCAAGCGGACAGTGCATTTTGATTCCTCTTCACTCCTCTCCAGGTCTAGCAGTTTCTCTCGTCCACTGCAGAGGGTGATTCGTTCTAGCTGAGTTTGAGCTATTGCTTCCGAGGACAGTACAGGCACGTCCAACTCAATCCAGTTCAAGTCACCGTTGCTGTATCTTTCTGTCGTCCTAGCGTTTGAAAGCAACTAAGGACGTCATTTCGGGTTATTGATCTGAATTAACAAAATGGTATTCAATAGCTTTGGCGGACATGACACTCCAGGAAGCGATCTCTCCGTTGCAGCAGCTGCCACGTCTGCCGTCGCCTCCCTCTTCTCCGCCGCCTGCGACGTCGCACATCGCTTGCAAGCAAGTAACTCCCACGCGTGCGACAGACCGAGCGACGCTTCTGTGGACCACGCCACTGCGTCGCCCGAACAAAACACTGTGACACACGATTGTAACGCGTCGCCGATGGAGATTATTCCACTTACTGGATCTGGAAACGCGTGCATTCAACTGGGGCTCGGTGTCGGTGGAGCAAGCGCGAGCTTCTATCAGCGGCTCGGTTCTGGAACCGGCCGGCTCGTCGCTGCGGCTGTAGCGGCGTCGACTCGCGCCGCAGGCCCGCTTGTCGCGTCGCACATTGCCCACCGCGTCGTCTGGCTACAGCCGGCGAAAGGTCTCCTACAGCCGCCGGCTGCGGCTGTAACGTCGGCAGTCGCCGGCCCAGCAGGGCCGGGATTGGGTACGCTGCCCGTTGGAGTCGCACGACTGCCGATCGCCTTGCGACAGTCTGCGATCGGCGGACTTCTGTCGCTGAGCGCGGTGGCGTTAGGGGCACTGGGGTGGGCGAGGGCGTGCTCGGCGGAAGACGATCGCAGCGGAGCGCGGCCGGGGGAGCGCGGGGATGGTTCGGGGGAGGAATCCGCGCTAGGTCAAGGCGCGGGGGAGGATGAAGCGGAGGCGGTGCTTTCGCAAGTGGCGTCTGTGGCGGAAGGGCGGAAGCGGCCTCGTGAGACAGATGGCGACAGGTGGGTTGAAGCAGCGTCGTGAAGGCAGGTAGGAATGAAGCAGCATGATGCGTCTCGTTCCCCCTCCTCCCGCCCAACCCCTCCTCTCCCCTCCAACCCCCTCCCGCCCCCTTCCCATTCTCCCCCCTCACCCTCGTCCTCCCGTCATACCTTCATTTTTTATTTCCGCCTTTCCTTTCCTTTGCGCCTCCGTTTTCCTTTTGTTCCCCCTTCTCCCATCTTCCGTCTATTCCCCCTCAAACACCTCCGCTTCCATTTTCATTTACGCCTCCCTTTCCCTTTGCGCCTCCGGTTTCCTTTCCTCTCCCCCTCGTCCCCCTCCCCCTCCCTCTCCCCTTCCTTCTCCCTCTCCCTTTTCCTTGCGCATCCCCTGGGCACCCTTCCTTTGCGCCTCTTGCATAGCAGTGTGCCGCACGCGTGCGTGGCGACGGTGGTGGCGGGCGCGGAGAGGGGCATGGTGGTGGAACCGAAGACAAAGCACTCCTTCCCCGTCGTGCTGCGGCAAGACGGGCAGGCAGGCGGGGTGAGTGCGGTGCTGAGGGTGAAGAGGGTGGTGCTGAGGGTGAAGAGGGTGGTGCTGAGGGTGAAGAGGGTGGAGGGGCAGAGGGGCAGGGTGACTGTGGTGCTGGGGGGCTGGAAGGGTAGGGAATGATGGTGAGTGAACAGAAAAGTGGTGAGCTCTGTATGTTCGACCGTCCGCATCCTCATCCTCATCCCCATCCCCATCCCCATCCCCATCCCGTCCCCATTCCATCCCCATTCCCATCCCCTTCCCCGTTCCCATCCCCATTCCCATCCCCGTTCCCATCCCCGTTCCCGTCCCCATCCCCGTCCCCTTTCCTAACCCAACTTCCAATTTCCAGCTGTTGGCAGGGGTGGGCATCAGAAACACGGTCATTGCAAGAATTAAATCCATCAAGATATACGCCTTCGGCCTCTGTAAGTTAGTCCGCGCCTTCGGCCTCTGTAAGTTAGTCCGCGCCTTCGGCCTCTGTAAGCTAGTCCGCGCCTTTGGCCTCTGTAAGTTAGTCCGCGCCTTCGGCCTCTGTAAGCTAGTCCGCGCCTTCGGCCTCTGTGAGCAGATTGGGTAAAAGGGGTCACTAGAGCAGCCCTTATGTGTTGCTCAAGTGAGTGGAAATGATTACCCTAATGAGCTTTCTTTTCATGAATACTGCCTGGTCCTGTTTTTGTGTTCTCGTTGTTTCTTGAAATTTACTCGTTTAACTTCCAGCAACATCCGGAGCGTACTGTCTGTGTGTGTGTGTGTGTGCGTGCGTGCGTGCGTGTGTTTGTTTTTTTGCTTGTTAGTTTCCTCTTCTTTTTTTTTTTTTTTTTAACGTGAAGCTATCCCGTTCCCTCTTCTCCCTCCTCATGCGGTTTCCCACTGCTCTCTCTTCCCGACCACTCTCTCCCTATCCCATCCCCTCCCCACCTCCTCGTCTGCTCAGACGTGAGTCCATCCAGCCTGGGCGGGGACGAGCACCTCAAGGCCAAGTACGGCGCCATGCCTCTGGGAACCACCGTCCCTACCCTCCTTGTCCCATGAGCAACCCTCACTGCTTCCACTTTCCCCCCTCCCCGCCCTTCTCCGTTCAGACGTGAGTCCATCCAGCCTGGGCGGTGATGAGCACCTCAAGGCCAAGTACGGCGCCATGCCTCTTTCAAACACCGCCCCTGCTCCCTCTTCACCGTCACCCCTTTTCCCCCCCCCCCTTCCCCACCTCCTCCTTGTCTGTTCAGACGTGAGTCCATCCAGCCTGGGCGGGGACGAGCACCTCAAGGCCAAGTATGGCGCCATGCCCCTGGACGAGCTGCGAGTCAGCCAGGAGTTTTACGACGACCTGCTCAGGTGAAAAACACAGACGCATGCTCAGGTGGAAACAGCAGACGCAAACACTCAGGTATATCTGGCTTGTGCTTAGTCCCTCTTGCGCCTTTGATTCTGTTTGCGTTTATTTTCTTAGCCATCTTATGTCTCTATCTCCCCCCTCCCCTTCTTCCATTGCCCTTCCCCCACCCCACCTCGCCCCTCCTTCCGTCTCCCTCTTACTCCCTTCCCCACCATTTTCATCCTTCCTCATCGCCTTTCTACACTCTCACCCTGTTCCCACCTCTCTTGCACCCTGCCCAACCGCTCCTGTATCCGCCCCTCCCTTGCTCCACTCCCCACCTCCCCTGTTCCACTCCGCCCCTCCCACGTTCCGCCCTTCCCTTGTTCGCCTTGCCAGTCGTGACATCGGCATGACGGTGCGCCTGGTGCTGCACTACAGAGGGCTTAACATGAAGATGGTGCGCAAGTGAGTGGCCTTGGGTTGGGTCAATGGCAGTCGACTTGAGTCAATGTCAGTCAGGCAACCTTGTAGGTACCTTGAAGGTTGGCATGACGGTGCGCCTGGTGCTGCACTACAGAGGGCTTAACATGAAGATGGTGCGCTAGTGAGTGGACCCAGTCAACCAGAGTCAATATTACCCAGTCAATGCCAGTCAATGCCTGTCACTAGCATGGCATTACAGCTGGTGCTGCACTACAGAGGGCTTAACATGAAGATGGCGCGCAAGTGAGTCCCCTGAGTCAACAAGAGCCAATGCCAGCCAATTCGGCTCAGAGTGTTCTCTCTTCTTCCACCCTCCCCTCCATGTCCCCTCACCTTCTTCTCTTCCTGCACGTGCTTTTGAAGTAGCCATCTGGTTCTCACTCTGTCCCTCACTCTCAGCCCTCTGTGTCCCATCCCATGCAACCTGCCCCTGTGTGTTCCGCCCTGCTCTGCTCCCAGTGCACTCAATACGTCCCTCTCCAATCGCCTCACCAAGGTGTGTTTTATCACTCCTGGCTGTCTTTGCTCTCACCTGTGGCCCTTGATAGTATTGTTCATAATAGTAAGACAGTCTGGCACTTGCAGTATGAAAGGCATCCTTTCCCTCCTCTCTCCCTTTGCCTCTCCCCCCCCTTCCGCACGCTCCCTCTCCCATCCGCTTTTTCTTTCTACTTTTTCGTGTGCCCCCCCATGCCCTTATGTCCCCACGCCCGTAACCCTTCTCCTCTGTCGTGTCCCCACGCCTCTTCCGCTCTTATGCCCCCCACAGCTGTTGGGCCATGCAGAGGACCCGGGCTTCCACACTCTCAGCGAGTGCCTCTCTTATTTTTCTTTCCTTTTCCTCTGACAAACCCGCGCCCTCTTTCTCTGTCTTCCATCCTCCGCCCCTCACAGCTGCTGGGCCATGCGGACGACCCAGGCTTCCACGCACTCAACGAGTACCTCTCACTGCCACACCAAGTCAAGAGGGTTAGTGCTCCCTGCTCCCTGCTCCCTGCTCTGTGTTCTCTGCTTTCTGCTCTCTGCGCTCTGTTCACTTCTATCCCTCTCTCGCCCCTTCTTTTTTCATGCCTTTTATCTCCCACCACCCTCGAGCTACCATCCCTTACTCTCCATGGCTCTTAAGTGCCCATCACTCATTTCTCTACCTGCAATCACCCACCACTGCTCAACTGCTGCACGCCATCCCACGGCCCTCATGTCCTCCTCTTTCTTCCCCTGTAACCTCCGCTCGTCACCCCTTTCCATCCCTGTGCAATCCTCCACTGTCTCTTGTCACCATTCACCTCAGGGCACCACCATCGATTTCACATGGCAGCCAGGAGGAACACTGCTCACTGAGAGTGAGTGCGCTGAAATCTCTTTGGAGGGTGTGTGTGTGGGGGGTGGGGGTGGGGGGGTGCAGACGGGCTGGCGGGTGGGCGGGTGGGTGGTTGTGGTGGGCTCGCTGACGCACATGGATCCCCATTCACTCTATGTGTCAGTGCTACCCTATTCACTCACTCACTCCAGATCTCTCCCCCGACCCCGTCCTCCCTCTCTCATCTCCCTTACCGCTCCCTCTCTATCCTCTCCCTAAACCGCTTCCTCTCTCTCCTCTCCCTCCTCTCTCCTACCCCTCCAGTTGACTGGCGCATGGATTCAATCTCTTTGCAAGAGGCAGGCGCATGGATCCCATTGTCAGGGCTCACTACCAATGCTCTCTGTCCCACCTCTCTCTCCCTCCATCTCTCTCCTCTCCCTCCTCCCTCCTTCCCCTCCAGTTGACGGGAGGCGCATGGACCCAATAGTCAGCGCTCCTCTATGCAGTGAGTCTCGTTCACTCCCTGCATCGTGCATATTGACTCCTGCTGACAACTTGTGCTTATTGACCCCTGTTGTTCATGTTGTCACAACTTGTCAATGCTTGCTTGTTTACTTTCCATGACCTGCGGGCGTACCCCTAATAATATTGCCATTCTTTGATGATAGTTTGTTAGTGTTCAATTACTCTTTTACTCCTTTGTTTATCAAACTCTATTCGTTGTGTACACCGCATTGACCAGGAGCCTTCTTTGATTTGTACATCGGCCATCCGCCTGTGTGCGAGAAGGCTAAGCAGCGGATTGGGGAGGGCATAGGACGGATGATCGCCACATGCTAAAATGAGATTCGTCAGAGTTTTCAGGTCCCAGTTGGTTCCCAACAACGCTAAGTTGGTTTGATTGTACAAATCTACACTGATTAAGCATGGTACAGTGCTGTACTTCAGCTTGAGAAAGAAGTTCACTGCAAATAGAAAGCGCGAGCTACGGGAAAGGGTTTCTCGGCTTATTTGCTCGGATCGCTCAAAGCGGCTGTGGGTGTGGCTTTGCAACGGGCTCAGGCGCGTGTGATCTTGTTACGCGCTGCGTCGATGATGAGAGGCCCAGAGGCTGTTTGGGTGGAGCGGGAGGATGTTGAGGAGGAGATGGGATGGGATGCTCCGTGGGCGGATGCACCATACTTGGTAGACATGCGGGTTTAGAAAGTGGGTTTAGGGGGGGAGGTTTGGTTCGATGGGAGTGCAGTTGGGGTGCTTTGATGGGAGGGCTTGATGGTGTTTTAAATGTGTGTGCTATTGGGGTTTTCTTGGGGTTGTGTGTGCTGCTTTTTCTTCCCTGTTTTTCTTCCTCCTATCATTTTTCCCCTATTCCCCTCCTTCTTTCTTCCTCTCTCCTTTTTTCTACTCACGTTATTCCTCCTTTTCTCCTCTCTTCCCGTTTCCACTCCTTTTCCTTGCGTAATTATGCTACATTGTAATAGATAGTACCTCGATTGCTTAAAATAAAAAAAAAGTAAATAGAAAGCTCTGGTTACCAGGTGTGTGATGTGGTATTTCACTTATTGAAAATAGGTTGATAGAAACCATACGTGTACAGTAGCACACCTAGGTGTTGGCTCGGCATGCTACATAAACCACGAGGGCCATAGGGGCCATCCTGTCAGTCAGCTCACTCACCGACCATTGGACCACTCTGTCGTACATACGAGCCGAAATACAGCTGATGCTCACCCCATGCACGCGAATTTGCCTTGCGCCGGATGGATACGCTGCACCCGAGGTTGTTTCCCCAGCTTCATGCACCTACATTACAAGCGCGTCGCGTGGTTATCAACCAGTAGTAACGAACAGACCGACGTCAAACTAGGTACAGACCGAAGTCAAGCAGAGGAGACTGAAGTCAAACTAGGTTACAGATCTTGTTTATAGCTAGCTGCGAATCATTTTTAGCTAGCTGCGAATTGCCGAAACTTATGCGAAATGCTCGTGACAGCTTATACGCCCCCTTCGTAAGGCAACCGGGAGGGGCTCAAACAGGCATCAGGTGTATTCTTCCCGGTTTGTACGGTGTGGTGGGCATTGGGGGTTGGCTTGGCGCTCTCGGGATTCGGGAAGGCCTACAGCATAGACTGTGTGGACTCAGCCAAGCATCCAACAGAGCATTCATCCCTCAGTCGACTTTTGTAGGGTTCCAGAAACAGTTTCGATCTGACCCAACCCAAGCCAAGAGTCGCAGAGCTCCATGATGAGGCGCAGAGCGCCATGTTGTGTGGGTGGACTGGGATATCGTTTTTCGCAACTAATGGCCAGCACAGCGAAGGAAGGTTGTTCATAAAGAACAACGGTTACGATACGAGCTTGATTTGGTCTCTTTTCGTGTCGTGATTTGCTGGCACGACGCGAGAGATGATGTGAAAAGCCTGTCCAATCGTCAGGTTTTTTTCTTCCCGTTTTTTAACAGGATGCCTACCCGCTAAAGTGCTGCAGCGAGTATGGGAGGTTTAGGGCTGAAGCTAGACGAGGAGTGCCTCTTGTTTATATGTGCCCTCCAACGTCGCGGTTTTAGGGAACAGAAATTACGGGTGCGCTATTCCAGCTGTGCAATGCCTTTTACGCATCAGGCTGAGAAGGAAGTTGCAGGCTGTACACACACTCCTCCCAAACTAACCCATGTAAAAAAATAGGCACCAGCTTGATCATGCTGCTTGTGCATTTTGTTTCGGCGCGATGCTGATCCCCAACCCAACACCCTGCTTTGTCTGATCTGGAGCGGTTGCGGTTGGTCAGAAGTGGGAAGGGACCAGTCAGTTTTTAGCAGATCAAATTCATCCTTGCGCCCTCCGTGTTTCCAGCCTGTCACGCGGTTTTCGCGGTCGCTGGAGAAACAGTCGAGCTAAGTGAAGCAATGTCCGTACCGTACAATACCTTTTAAACTCCTTTCCCTTTCGATCTCCTCCTTTCCCAGCAGGATTGATCATTTCTCTCAACGCCGCCTCGGCACCTCAAGTACAATCTCCTGAAATCGAAGCTCCGCCGCACCTAGTCATGGCCTCGATCGGCGCCATGGCTGCGCGAATTTCCAGCAAACCGCGCGTCACCCTGACAGAATCCGTCGACCAGGAGTCCGTCATCGTCATGCTCCTTGACGGATCCATCCGTCTCTTCGACAAGCCGTCAGGCTCTAGCGAGCAGCTAACAGCGCAGGCCGTTCTCTCCGAGTACCCCCACATGAATCTCTCATCGCTCGAAGCGCTCGTCGCGCCGAACACTCCGCTCGTGCCAGGAGAGACCTATTTCCTCACGCCGAAACGCGCACCGTCCGCGGCTCGACCGCCATTGACGCCCCCTTCAAGGGACGGTTCCCACGCGACTCGCTCCCGCGGCGTGTCGCCGCATCTCCCCCCGCGAAGCCCCCACGGCGCCGCAAGCGACGGCCAGATTCCGCTCATGCGAGACGGGCCGTTTCACCGCGATTCGAACGAGTCGTTTCATCACCGGGATGCACACGGGAGCGCCGCGGGTACGTTGGAGATACCCACGCGTGTGTCGTCGCCGGGATGCTGCAGCGCGCGCAGCGAGGAGAGCCTCGATTTTAGCTTCGTCACCCGCGAATGCTTTGGCTCGGGCCGACACAACAGCTTTGGTTCGGGCCGAGGCGGAGAGGATGAAAACGAGGACGAGGAGGAAGGTAGTGATCAGCCCGCGTTGTATAAATCCAAGACTTACAGCGGGAGCCGTAACCTGAAAGGCAGCGGTCGGCAATCAGCAGATTACAGGGCGAAGCATCATATCGAGTTGTCGCCACATCGTGGCGAGGGTCGCCACAGCAGAACGCCGTCCATATTCCCTTCGCCAACGTCGTCCGTGTCGAGTGTTACCAGCCAGCGCGAACACAGGCTCCCTCCGCGACCGTCGCCCCCCACAACGCCAAATCCTTTCCTCGCCGAGGTAAGCCCCGTGTTACGTTTGAATCTAGGGTTTCGCCTCGCCATTTGAACTCTATACATCATTTAAATGTACTGCATGAGGTTTCCTCGTTCGAATCTAACGTCGTGACACGCTGCTTTACTTTTCCCCGCTCTTCACAGATCGCGGCCCTTAATGAAGAAGATAACAACGCGGATTCTGCGACGGCAACCACAGCCGCTTCGAGTCGCGCGCATCCCTTGTCTTCTCAGTCCGAAGGGTCGTCTCTTAAAGCGAAGGTCCTCGCGACGCTCGCGCACTTTAAGCCCCGCAGCCTGCGGCGCCTTACCTCTCCTGGCAAGAAGGCTGCTGCTTTTCCCACGGCTCATTCCTCTGGACCGTGTGTAGAGTACGATGACGTCACGGCCGAGATCGGATTCTGTGAGTCCGAGTCAGCACGGGACTGGGCTGACGTGGACAGCAAGCTGTACATGATGACGGACACGCGGATTGGACACCGGCAATCGCGGAATGCAAGCGGCGGCGCGCGCGCGCACGCGGGATTTGCGCAAAACTTCGACGGCGTCGCTTGGGAGGCTCCATCGCAGATTACATGGGGTGACGGCTCGGGTCGCGCGAATTCTCGTCAATTTCAGCGGACCGTGTCGCCTTCACCTGACTTCGGTGCTCAGCTTCCTTCCAGAATCTGCCGGAGTTGCAACGGCATGAGCAGCTGCTGCTCCTGCGAATCGCAACCTGTCGCAGAGTGTAACGTGCGACGAGGCTACGCGTCGCAGGGTTCCTCGCGGCAACAGAGCCCTGCGATGATGCAGAGGCCAGGGGAGGATTTTGTACATGATGGCAGGCATGTGAAGAGTAACGCGGTGGACTGTAACGAGTATATCATGCCGCCTGTCAACCAGAGGTTCCTGTCGGGGCCCATCGCGCATCGCGCAGCCATATTTTAGAGTACAACCTACTGTGTAACCCTATCTCTCTTTCCGTACTCTGCTTCGGACTACGCTAGTTCGCGGGGTGTGTGGGTGGATGCGGTTTTGGGGATTCGCAGGCTTCCTCCCCTGGTGGCCAATAATGACATATTTGACGCTTGGTGTGCTGAGCAGTTTGTGGCAGCTGATTTTGGTGTGAGATGTTCAATTAACATTGAATTTATTTGTCTAATACCTATGTACCTCGGACAGTTGCTGCTCATTCCCATTGACATGACTGAAATGATGGCAGCAAATGCTTCCAGAATGTACAAGCTTGAGGGATTATACAGTCTAGCACAGAATGTATCTACAGTACACCAGTGGTCGTCATTGGTCAACATGGCATGATGACTGTACAGGGCAGTGAGTTGCAGCAGCTGGGCTGGGTGGTGCGACGCCAGTGATGCTGCACCTTCTTCCTAGGTTGAGGAGGGGGGGAGTGTGTGTGTACAGTGGAGGCATACCCTAGCTGACACTCGAATCCGTCATGGAGGGGCGGTGGCTGGACTGGTTGGGGCCATGAAGGATACGGTTCTCTGGCAAAGGCTCTCAAGGATCAGAGCGAGACAGCTTAGGTGGAGGGCGGTGGGAGTGTGAGCACAGCAGAGGCGTAGCTGACACTAGAATCGCGCATGGAGTGGCAGTGGCTGGGATGGGTGGTGCGATGGTGAGAGATGGCGGCAGGAGATCAGAACAACATCCCCTAGGTGGAGGGTGGTGGGAGTGTGAGCACAGCAGAGGCGTAGCTGACACTGGAATCGCGCATGGAGAGGCAGTGGCTGCTCTGCTCGTACTGCACAAAGCGGATACTCAGGGGCAACGGAGACAGCTCCGCCATCTGAACAGGTGAAGGGGAGAGATGGGTGGGAGTGAGGGAGGGAGCGGGGGAGGGGGGATAAACCCATGTGAGGTGGGGCGAGGCAAGGCGGGGTGGGGAACATGGAGAGGCAGTGGCTGGACTGCTAGTACTTCACAAAGCAAAGCGGATGCTTGGGGTCGATGGACACAGCTCCGGCATCTGTGGGAGCGATGTGTGTGCATGAGGGGAGGGGCGTAGAGGAATAACGCCATGCTAGGCAGAGTGGGGCAGAGGGCATGGCCTTCCAACACCATTCCACCCAGCCCAACACCACTCCACCCAGCCCAACACCGCTCCACCCAGCCCAACACCATTCCACCTGGCCCAATCCATCTCCCACCACACCTGCAGCAATACGCCAATAGGGTGTCTCCCACAAACAGTGTTCCCTGTGCGCTCGATATAGTCACGGAAGGCCTTGGCCTGCCCTCCCTCAATGGCCGCCATGCCCTCGCGGTCCATGGCCTCTATGGCCTTGTGGATGGGGCCATGCGACTTGTCGTATGGCGTGAAGCGGAACCTGAAAGGCAGGGGGTCACATATGTGGGGGGGAGAGGAAACCTGAGTCGACTCATAGGTGAAAGGCAGTGCCCTTGCGGTCCATGGCCTCTATGGCCTTGTGGATGGGGCCGTGTGACTTGTCGTATGGCGTGAAGCGGAACCTACAGGAAAGAAGAGAGGAAGGGGGGGGCGAGAGAGAGGGGTGAAGAGGGGGGGAGGATAGATGAGGTGGAAGGGGAAGGCGTGTGAGTGGATGCACCAGTCACAGGCAGTGCCCTCATGGTCCATGGCCTCTATGGCCTTGTGGATGGGGCCGTGCAACTTGTCGTATGGTGTGAAGCGGAACCTGCAGAGCGGGGCGGGTACATGGGGGAGGGAGGACTTGAGAGTCGATTTAACAGTGAAAGGCATCGCCCTCGCGGTTCGTGGCCTCTATGGCCTTGTGAATGGGGCCATGTGACTTGTCGTATGGCATGAAGCGGAACCTGAACCGGAATATAGATGGGGGTAAAAGGAGGAAACGATTTCCTGATTGAAACACTCAAGTCGTCTGGCAGAGGAAATAGGGTGCGGGAAAGGTGGAAGAGTCAGGGAAAAGTAATGCCATGTGCATTAGTCCATGCTTAATGCACAATATGTTACGTTGCACCACAGAAAAGCAGCACCACAAAGCTATGGACTGCACGAAACCAAGCAGAAATGCACAGAACCGCACAGAACCATAGCCTAGACGCACCTGGAGCCCCAGTGGCAGAAGTCAGAAGAAATTGAAAAGAAGTTAGAAGAATCAGAGAAGTATCTGCGGAGGCGCACAGGAGGGGAGGGAGAAATAAGGAGGGGAGGGGTGGAACGGTGGGAAGGGTCTTGGAATCTGGAAGTGACGGACAGCATTAAGGCATGAATGACACAAGATCCCTCTAAAAGCCATGTTTTGCCGCTTGTCCGCAGTTTCACGTGACTGAAGTCACAGCTGCAAGTGCAGCGGCGGCGTCTGCTGTTGCAGCAGGCACGCTCAGTTTGCTTCACCTGGAGAGAATACTGCCATCACGCCTCTGCTGCTGCAAGTGCCGTGGCTTCTACTGTTACAGCAGCAGGCATGCGCAGCTGGGCTCACCTGGAGAGAATACTGCCGTATCGGGCCTCTGCTGCTGCATCCAGTGATCCCACCATTATTGGCACCAAAGTCACATTGTGACTGTGGCGAGGGGTGAAGAAAGGTTGGGAGAGAATAGGACAAAGAGGAGTTTGGGGTCGTGAGATTGATCAGAGGGGCAATGGCTCATGTCAAAGCTACATGCAAGGAGATGTGACAGCTCGGTAACTCAAATGGACTCATGTTGAGACGCATTAGCTCGTGTTGATCAGTGTTGTTCACCAGTGTTGACCAGCGTTGACTGGCGTTGACTCACTCTTTGCACATGTGAGCAAGGAAGGGCGCGTGCATCTCGAGGGAGTGCTCTGCCTCGTCCACATGCCGCCCCATCTCCTCAAACTCGCCCGTCGCCTTCAGTTCCTCCACCACTGCCAGAGAATGGGCGTTACAGGGCGGAGGGGGAAACGGGGGTGGGGTGGCAGAAACAGGGCAGAGAGGGAAAAGGGAGTGCTCTGCCTCGTCCACATGCCGCCCCATCTCCTCAAACTCGCCCGTCGCCTTCAGCTCCTCCACCACTGTGGGGGAACAGCCGCATGATGGGCAGGCACATCATGGATGAGTAAGCGGTAAATAATGGGTAATAAGGAGAACACGCATGACGGGTAGATGAAGGTTGAATAATGGTCACATAATGTGCAGCTAAGAGACAAACACGGCTCACACAAGAGGTAAATAACCCAGTGCAGCAGCAGCAGCAGTACCTTGCATGTCGATGGGTAGGGCGCCGAGAGGAGTGTGGAAGGAGGTGGATCGAGGCAGCACACACTTGCGTGTGTAGTGGTGGTGCGATGGGCCCAGCAGGAATATGCGGCGGCTGATGGGGTTGAAAGGGAGGAAGCGTAAGGGGAATGATAAAAAGGTTTGAAAAAACCGTGTAGTGGTGGGTCTATGGGCCTAGCAGGGGAAGACGCGACAGCTGATGGGGATGAAAGAGAGGAAAGGAGGGAGAGACTTTTACAATATTCTGAAAGTATCGTGGGTGGGACGGACCAGGAGGATGATGAGATGGCTGACGGGGGCGATACAGAGGGAGAGCATTGATGGGTTGAATTGAAAGACGAAAGGGGGGATTGTAGGGGGGAAGGGGAGGTAAGAGCAGGAGAGGGAGCGAGGGTAGAACAAAAGCAAGTTCAGAATATGAACCAGCAGCCAAAGACGACGAACCTTTGGAACGACATACTCACATGGATGGTGCATGCATGTGCGCGAAGGCGTAGGCCGCACATCTGCCTGAATAACGAAAGCCTGCATGGCTGGAGGGGCACCGGCATCGGGAATTACGAAGACACATAATCAGAACCTTGAGCAAGGAGAAATGCATAATTCAAGGAACAATGAAAAATGGTACAAATTTCCTTTTCTTCCCAGTCAACACACGCAAAGGCCAGGACGGGGTGATTCAGAAAAATCACAGAACCCTTTGAGTCAAGTCGGAAATGATAGACTGAAACAGCAGAGCAAGCGACAACGACAACCGGGGGGGGGGGGGGTGGGGGTCCGGATGGGAGGACGGGAGGCAGGGCGGGGAACAGGGAGAGCGAGGGTGGAAAGGGGTTCGGTGTGTGTGAGCTTACATGCCATCCGCCTCACATGCCATACCGCTTCACATTCCATCAGCTTCACATGACCACTCCCCGTACCTCCCGTTTCCCCCTTCCCCCTTGCCCCCTCCCTCCCTCACCCCCTTATCCCTCCCCCCTCTTCCCCTACCACCTTTTCCCCCCTTCCCCACCCCCCCCCTCTTCCGGTGACTCACGGTGCAATCACGGCGCGCACGGAGGCGTCTGGCGACACTCCCGAGGCCGCCAGCCACGCCTCCACCTCCTCGCCCAGCTCCTCCGCTGTAGTCGCACCAGATCATACCGCATCGCATCACACCGCACCGCATCACATCACATCACATCGCATCGCATCGCATCGCATCACAACACAACGCATCGCATCGCATCGCATCGCATCACATCGCATCCCATAGCACCACATCACATCGCATCACATAGCACCACATCACATCGAATCACACCACATCACACCAGATCATACCGCACCACATCACATCAAATCAGCATAGTTTGCTTCGATTTCATCACGACGCATCCAATCAACGGGAGGCAACAGCTGGTAATGTTATGAGACGTCTCAAAACACTTCTTCAATCACGAGGGAGAGGAAATTCACGTTCAGACCAAAGCTACTTCCACAGTCACTCAACTCCCCGTTGTGATAATAGCAAGTTTTGCCAGCAAAACAGCTACCGCGTCGTGAGCAAGCAAGCACATGCGTTCTGAATAACCCGCTTCCGTGCGCTACAAGCTTCCGTCCTCTCGAATCGTTATAAGCATATCCTCTACCAGCAAACTCACCGTCATCGGTGTACCAGCTCCCCGCATGACTCGCGTGTCTCGCATATCCCGGGGGTGCCGACTCCTTCGTCTTGCTACTAGCTCGCGTCTTAGTCCCGCCGCCAACTGCAGCCCACATCCTCGCGACGCAGCACAGCCGCGGCAATCCCGCCACGAAGCACGCGAGGTAGAGTACAAAGGCAAGAATGAAAGAACGGAGGAGGGAAAACAAACTTAATCGGAAGTTTCTCCAAAAAACGATCAGGCTTCACACGGTCGACGGCGGAACTTATACTAATCCTTCCTCGCAGCCTTCGAACTACTACTAATTGCTGCTCGCAGCCTTCACCTCCTCGGGTAAAATAACCCTAGGAGAAGCTGGTGAGAGCTACAAGGGGTAATAGCCTTCCTGACGAAGCGCAGAAATGGGGAATTCTGTCAGCGAAATGTTCGGAATGCCCAAGGAGGTTTCAGAAATGGGTCGACCGGCATTCACTATTTTTGACCGGCTTACAAGGCATATCGGGACAAGACAGCGTTAGATTTAGCTGTTGATATTGTACTCAACTATGCGTTTTGAGAAATGAAGTTGAAATGAGGTCAAATAAGATGTGAGACGTACCGCTTGTGGTAGTCTACCTTTGCCTCGTGTATCCATTTATTATAATGGTCAACACAATCAGATAAGGTAGTGTATATCTATTATGTGCTGTCCTTGTCAAGCGTTCTCCTCTCTACCCCTTGGATGCAATCCTCGCTTCAGATTTCCCTATTTCCCCCTTGTGAGATTTCCCCAAGCCCATGATATTTGCTCCTATAGCATTCCTGTTTTACCGCCAAGTTGTTGTTTCCGCATGCCTCTGACACAACTTTGCCTTCATGTTTCTTGGGTCTGATGGTTCACAACATCACATAGTGATGCGTCCCATCCGCTGGCCCAGCCACAGCAGAACCGTACAGAATCCTATACACACTAGCTATACCCTTAGGAGGCTATGTATGGCACACAATGGCATGCACAGATGTTAGCATCTCATGGCAAGGACCTACAGCAATCTGCTGTCTTCGAGGGCATACAACTTGAACACACTCTTGGCTGCACTTGAGTCCCTTGTTCCACGCCTCGCGTTGCTGGTGCTTGGGACATCAATGGACGAGCAGCGCCACAGGAATAAGCTGCAGGCGTCTGTGTCACGTTGAGTCATAATTCTGGCGGTTCTTGTGCAAGAATGGTCGCGGTATGTTCGCTGGATCATGGCAAAACTTAGAGGCAGCTACTAGCTGTGACATGTTAGGACGAAACAGACTCTTCAACATGATAGTAATGTATCTGTTTAGCTCATCTGCCCAAGAAGAACGGCGTGTGGCAAATGCTTCCACTCCGCCTTGCGACTTGGGGCGCAGGAGGGCGCGACCGGTGACGATGCCTGTATTTTATGCCCAGTTGTATCTCAATCAATTGCCTGCCGATGCTTGCCGACCAATTTCCGATTAGACGTGTATCAGTGGGCAACACGGGCAGCTCGAAACGCGGAGTGAATCCAGCCTTCAGCAGATACAGTAATTAGCGTGAATTCAGTCACTAGCTTTGCGGTGATTCGGTGTTCCAAGGGGAACTCGTGAACAGATCAAGTGCGGTGCTGCGGTCTTCGTTGGTGTGAGGCGGCGTAGGATGTCAAGAGATTGATTCACGAAGAGGAGGAATGCCCAACTCACGCATAAGGGACAAGCTTAGCTTATGCGAGAGAAACACTGGGCCCACATGTCGGAAGCGGAGAGCAGCAGAATGCAGCGGCAGATTAGCTCGTGTACGCAGCGGATAACTGAACTAGATCGTGCAGTCACCAGTGAAACAGATACACACACAGACATGACAAGAACGTCGGGAAAATGCGAGACACTACAATTCACCGATGCTCGAAAAATGACTGGATCAAGACAATTGTACTACCAATAGTACTATTGAAGACACTACCAATAGTACTATTGAAGACACGGACAGTAGGGAGGGTTCGCTCGCATTCGCACAAAATGGCTGATGCTTGGTTGCACAGTGTTGCCCTAACCTATGTACACCCTGTTTCGCGCTACATGGTCATTGGCTATATGGGCCCTGTGGCTCAACGCGCCAGAGGACGCGTTATAGTACACTTTTGCACCAGTACGGTTTGACGAGGTTAGTTACTTTCGAAGACGGTCGTTTGAACGTTTGATATGGCTCGGTAGGGTACCCAGGATAACGAAATTCCGAATCACTGACCTCCTAGAGACGGTTATGTGAAACTTTCCGAATAAGTCCAAGGAACAGTTTCACTGTACCATTGAATCCCGTTGCCAGTGTAGCGAGAAAGAGGGTGTAGTATTCGGAGGGAAGAGCAGAATGAGCAGATGGCATGGAATGGGTTCACGCGTGGGATACTCTCGCCAAGCGTGTCAAATGCTGTCAGAACAGTAGCTTCGCGGTCCTCATACCATGAGCAAACAGAAAAGGAAGGAAGGCCAGAGGCGATGGGTAACCAGGGAGCGAGATGGGCGGCAGCATGCAGCGAACCTGTAAGTTCGCAAGCACCCATCGACAGTACAACTGAGAAAAAGTTGGGGAAGGCGAAAACGCGAACTGGTTCGCTGCGTGCGTGTTCACGCTTGATTGGTCAGCCAAGTTCCAACGAAGCTCGTGAAGGTTACGAGCGATATTTTTCTAGCCCCTTCAGGCTACAATTTAGGGCGGAGTGCAATTCTGTGGATGTGCATGAAGTTTGTACCCGTTATGTAGCACATCTCATGACAAGCATTATCCATACACAACTGGATCACAAACGATACATGCAAAGCAACCGCAAATTCCTACCTTCGTCAGATTATTGTGATGTTCAGAAATTTTTTATCGGTTTGGAGGAAAAGGCAATTACTAAACGAGAATAAATACAACAATTGATAGCAATCAGTAGACTCTCTCCGTCCCTGTCAACTGTTGCAACTGAGTGGCTTTCAAGCAATCCCTGGAAAACGATTTTGCAGATCTTCTGAATCCGAAGCCTTTTCCACAAAGCTGATCAGCAATGCTACCATGGCTGCTCGCAAAGCTGCTACCAGAGCTTGAACAAAGGGACGCACTGCTGCCAGCAGAGTTAATTTTTGAATTGCTGCTGATGTTTCTTAGCTCCGTTGCAAATGTGGAGACATGATCCGTGTCCTGAACGTTTCCGCTCGCAGTAGGCGCGTCAACGCCAGAAATTGGGGAGATTGATGGTCCAAACTCCCACGTTCCTTGTTCGTGCCTGAAGTCGTACTCCCGCATTTCAGAGCAGATAGCTTCTAGATCCATTGGAAAATGGCTCGCCGAAGATGGAAAGCAATCCGAAGAGGGCTGCATCCGCGAAAGCACGGAATCGCTCGGAACAATCTGGTAAGTTCCGCCTGGCTTGAGCACGCGTTTCGGCGACAACGGCTCGAATCCGCACGACGGGGACGCTGCGAAGAGTTCATGATCGGGAAACTCGGCGAGGACACTGCGAACTGTAACGCGGTCCGTCTCGGAATCGTAAAGTCGCACGGAGCCGTCTGGGAGCATCACTGCGACGGGGTCGAGCGATTCGCCAGTGGAGCTCCAACCAAAGGTCGGGTTTGAAGCCATAAGTGAGGGAAATCTGAGTCCAGAATCCTACACTGCTTGTGAAAAATTGGAAGGCTGGAAGTAGCTAGTAGCAGTGCTGACTGACACTCGATGGGAGAAATACTGGAGCGTAGACTTCACGAAAATATTATCACGATGCGAGAACTTGGAGTTCCTTGAGGAATGAAAAGGAGGGTGTGACTGGCGAGCCTTTGTACTGGGAAGGGGAGGACGAAGACGACAGCGACAGCTGGTGGTGCGAATCGCGATCCATCGGAATGAGCCACTTGCCCGCAATCAACGCATGTGTCATTTTTCGTCGGAAAGCAAGAAGCGACGCAGGAATTGTCGGCATTGCTCTGCTGGCATGAGGGTCCTAGAGAACAGCTTTCCTCTGTCGACTCGGACAAAGGCGCTCTGCCTTGTGATCGGTCCTTTCATAGATCCTCCGCGGCAATGTCAATGACGAGGCTACAGAACCGCAGGGAAGAAAACAAACAAAATTGACAGGGAGTGGGAGTTGGGATGTGGAAAGCATTGGCTTGATGCTGCCACTGCCAGATTTTGCGCGGCAATCGCTCACAGCAAGAGCAGCAGTCGAATACAATCAAATGGGCTTCGCTGCTCCATTCGAACGAAAGGAAGGGTGGCGGGGTGGGGCGGTGGAGTGGGTGTTGAAGGTTGGGGGGAAGGGGGACACAGAACCAGGGGGAAGAGCGACGGGTGGAGGGAGGGACGGAGAGAGAGGAATGGAGGGGGGCGGTGGGCCCCAGCTGCAAGGACGAACAAGCAGAACAAGTCATTTCCCTCCCCCCCATTCCATGCCTTGACTGCCATTGGGGTTTTTTAGAGGTGGCGCGCAAAGACCATGGGCGGTGTGGGCCCAGCAGAGCGTTGAACAAATCCCGCGCCAACTCCCCAAACCAGGTCCCAAACCTGCGACTGGGGAAGATTTCTCCCTGAAAATGGCGCGCTAGCCTGGTGGGAGGTATCTTGGTCGTGCGCATACACTATGTCCTGGCTTCCCCCATTACCCCGTTGTAGGTCCTCCTCGTTACATGACGTCTGTCTCGCTCAATACAAAAACTTCCGAATTACAGCCAGGACAGGTTATTCGTAACGGCAACAAGGGTCATTGGCAAATTAGGTCCCACCGAGAATTGAACTCGGGCATTCAGATTCAGAGTCTGACATCATAACCGCTAGATCATGGGACCATGTGGCGCTAACATATTTAAATTATTTTTGACACTTTCCATCTAGACGTCAGCTTCTTCGTGCATTTTTTTTTGCTCATGGCTACCGCATCTTCAGGCTCATTGCTCAGGCATTATGTTGCCGAACCTCGTCGAAAAGCCCACGGTCGACCCCATGGCCTTTTGCTATTCCAACGCGACCTTGTCAGATCGCACCATTACTGCCATGCAGGAACATTTTCAGTGGCGAGTCACCGAACCTGGAGGGAGTCGACAAGCAGTAGCGCAGCCGCGAGAATTGGGTGGCTACCACATGGAATCTCATACTTTCCCTTCATATCGAGTCATGGCGTAGCGCTACAATCTGGTCCTTGCTTTAGGTCAAGGGGCGATCAACACGAAATTTTCGGTAGGAGGCAACGCGTGGGAGCCGCGAGCAGCAGTGGTGGCAGCGGTGGTGGCGGAGATGACGCTGACATCAGCGATGAGTCGGATGTGAGTGATGTGCTCTGACGTGACAACGGAATTTGCTTTCAAAGATCCATACTTTGGCTCTCAGCCTCCATCAATCTTCACATTTCCCCCACCCCCATCCCCTTCCTGGTTTCTTTGCCCTTTCCATGGGCTGTATCGTAGTTTCTCGTCCTCTCACGTTCGCCCTTCTCACAACCCCCTCCACTCCCTCCGGTTTCTCTCCCCCCATTCCCATTCTTTTGCGCCAGCCTGAGGCCGTGGCTCTCACCATGAGTCGGCTGGAGAGAGAGCTCGATGCAGCTGTGCAGGCAGAGGACTATGGTGCTGCCGCTGGGCTCAGGGATAGGCTCAGGTGAAATCAACAAAGATTCAGGTGTTTCATGTGCGGCTGCGTTCAGATGGCCTGCAATAATCCAGGTGAAGCAGATGCAGTTGTCAGGAAAGATCAGAGGTGGTTAAGATGACTTAGGCTCCGGTGCACCAGAAACCCACCTCGTGCCAAAACCCGTTCTCACATGTCAGGTCATGTCTCCCGTCTCCCATTGCTTATTTTCCGTCCTGTTTTCCCGGACACCAGGCGCCTTCAGTCAGACAACGAGGCGGCAGTGATAGCAGCCAATGCTCTCTTCTACCGGGCTTTTGGCTCTGCTGATCTCAGGCTCATGCGCCGCGTGTGGGCTAGAGGGGAGCACGTGCAGTGCATACATCCTGGAGCAAACATAATATCTGGATATGACATGGTAAGATGTGGTGTGCTGGGTTGATGCGGCAGCGCATGCACGCAGCGGTTTTCTTGCGGGCATGGTCAATGCATGTGCCCTTTCTCTTCTGCTCCTTCATTACCTCTTAATGTTGCTCCCATAATCATTTGCGCCTCTTCACCTTTCATGTCATCACTTCTCGCTCCCGCTTGAGCTTTCTCCCTACACCTTTACCTCCACCACAGGTGCTCAACAGCTGGGAGCTTATATTTGATGGCATGAACCGCCAGCTCAGCATCACACTGGAAGACGTGGCGTGCCATGTGCGCGGCAGCATGGCAATGGTGACTTGTGTAGAGGTTATCAAGTCAGCAGGATCTGCTGGCAGGTGGGTACACCATGTGGGTCCAATCTTGAATCAATCTTGAATCTTGAATCTTTTAGCACCAATCTTGAATCTTTTAGCTGGCAAATATCGTTGAGTTGGCTCATGATTCTTGCATGGAGCTAGCATATGTAGCCTCCGACTCACCATATGTTCCCCCCCCTCCCCTCTCAGGGTGGTGGCAACGAACGTGTTTGAAAAGGTGGGCAGTCAATGGCTCATGTGCTGTCACCAGGGGAGTCCAGCCCCACCATCAGGCAGGAAGTTGGGGCTGTAGTGTTCAAATTACAAGTGCATCAAATTACAAGTGCCCTTCTGGTGCAACACACAGTGGACTGGCTTGACTTGAAGCTTTTATGATATTGTTTTTTATGCCAACCATTATGAGTTGACCTTTCTGGCTGTGAATCTGGGTTGCAGAGAATGCCAAAGCAGCCATGGTAGATAGTGCTTTCAATGTATCCAAGCCATCTGCCATTGTCATGCAAAGCCCAAGGTGTTAGCGAGTATGGAGAGCAGTTGAAAAACATAGCACATACCACTTCTCGAGAAGTTGAGCTGTCCATAGACGACATGGGGCGTATTCTGGACCTCGGGTCATCCGCACTTTGGGTCATGCGAATTTATTTTTCCCGAACCGCGGGTTTTCCGCCTCGACTTCAGGTTTTCCGACTCGGGACCACAAAGTGGTCGCACGTGCATCAAGCGAGGGGTTACGAAATCACGTACACCCCCTACGATAACCCTAGAGTGGGAACGTGCGATCAACAGGGGTCGCGTAGTCAATTGACCGTCAAATCCCACTTCGGTGAACTGGTGGTGAAACCACTTCCCAACAACAATGTCATATAAACACACATGCAAAGACGACCAACGAAAAACTTCTTTCTCATCAGAATCAGCCATCATGCGCAGCCACGACCAGCTCACACTTCTAGGATGCCTTCTTCAACTCTGGCATACTTTTTATTACGACACCCTCCTTCCCGCAGCAGCTATTGCATCTCAGTCATGGCTGGAGTTAGAGGAACAGGCACATGTGGATGAGATGGAAGCTTCAGAACGTCGAACGGAGAGAATGAGATCGCGGAAAAGGCGTCGGGAAGATCGTACGGCTGAGTGGGTCTCGGAAATCGACCTCATGACTGAGCATGAGTTTCAGGACATATTCCGAATCAGCAAAAGTATCTTGGTCATGATAGAGGAAGGCATGCATGGAGTTTTCACTCCATTCATTATCAACCACAACATACCCTTACGCCTTTGTATCTTGATCCCGGTCAAGTACTTTGCATCTGCACTGGCATACGTTGACTTGTCTATTTTCTTTGGAGTGTCCAAAACTATGTGCCACAAACTGGTTGACACTTCCCAAGGCAGTTCAAGGCGGATTGGGTTCGGTTCCCGACCCCGCAAGAGCTCCATGACATGGCTTCAGAGTTCAAGTTGATCAAAGGAGTCCCCAACGTTGTTGGGGCCGTGGATGGCACTCACATTCCTGTGCGCGGTATGGAGAACCATCGTACGGAGTATTACAACCGCAAATCTCACTACTCCGTTCAGCTGCAAGTGACATGCGATGCCAAAGGAGTTATTTGGGACTACATGGTCGGGTACCCTGGCGCCGTTCATGATCATCGCGTGTTTGTAAAGAGCAAGTTGTACGAGAGGCTTGAAAATGGAGAACTAGGTGAATACCAGCTTTTGGGTGATGCGGCCTATCCACTACGGTCTTATTGCTTGACACCGCTACATGCACCGAGCAAGAGATTGTTCAAAGGGTGGGAACAAATTTCAACTACGTTCAATCAGCTACACGGATGCCGGTTGAGAGGTGCATCGGGGCACTCAAGGGGCGGTGGCGCCTGCTCGGGAGAAGGCACGAATGCCGGCTCGGGAGAGTGTGCACGGGCACTGGCTGCATCATAATCCTCCATAACATGGTGACAAAGATGGTGCAGCACCGCCTGCGTAGCAAAAACACAAAGAAGGGGAGGCAGAACCATGGCGTCGGACATGGATGGTGGCTGAGTGGAATCATGACGCGGTTTAGGTGGCCTGCATTACAGTTCGGGACAGCAAAAGAGCTGCAACGCAGGAGGAAGTATTTCGGCAAGTGGATTCGGAAGGCGTACCTGAGGCGCAACCGGACGCCTACTGCTGCCCCGTAGAATTAGCAGCTGCTGCCGCGCCCTCGGTGGTCTCCGATTCAAGGCCCGTGGGCTGTTCCGGTGCTGGCGCGCCATCGGAGACGGCGGGGCCGTTGTTGTCTGCAGGAGCAGCGTTGTTCGCTACAGTGGCGGATGCAACCGCACTCATAATCAACTGGGTTATTGCTTCCAGCTTGGCTAGACCCTCCTTGTTGCATTCCTTAAGTGTGTCAGCGATTAGCTTAGCTCCCATGAGTGTAGCACTTTCGGCCGCCCTCTTGTTGCGTACCGGTGTGGAGGGTTCCGCCTTCTGTGCAGGCGTAAGCCCTGGTAGGAGTACAATCGGGATGTCAGTAAACGTAGATGGGTGTAGGCCAGGTGTAGGTGATGTTGTAGGGCAAAGAAGTAGGGGGCGGGAGGTGTTGAGGACATTGATGTTGGGTGGAATATTTGTAGTGAAATGTCTTGAGCACCAAGAGCAGCCTGAAATCCGTGCAGATGCCTTGAGAAAGGGTGAACGATGTTCACAGGCGCAACGGACAGATGGGGTACACGGTAATGGAAAAGAACGGTAGAGGACAGAAACCGTGCATGAGAAAACAGCTGGGAGGATGAGAAGATTCAGACTACGGCGCAGAATGATTTTCCACATTGTGAAGGAGCGCACACTGCGGGAGGACATGGAGAGGGAGAGCGAATCAAAGTAGAGGTACAAAGTGTACAGGTCATAGATTGTCACATGAACGGCATGTGGACAACAACTGATGGTGTCATGCGCGAGCAGACAGAAAGAGAGCATAGAATGAAGCATGCACAGGGACGGTGAGGCTGGAACGTACATTATAGCAAGGATGGAAACATACCTGATGGACCAGCCACCGTACCCGGGGTCACTGGCGCAGGGGTGGGCGGCACCGGGTTCCTCAGGGGATCTGCGTGGTTCTCGGCAGCACCGCCACCGTCGACCACATGCGGGGTCACTGCGGCTGTGCCTGCACGGATGTCGTCCATGAAGGTGAACCAGCCGGGTCGAGCTACGTTGCCGCCACCAGACATTGCGAGATCCTCGCAAATCTCCTTGTAGTCCCTCTCCAATATCTTCCACTGACATTTCATTCGCCTTGCGGAGATGACGCCGGATCTTTTTCCAGTACTGCGAGCCCTGCTTGCCCTGCAGCGCCTTCAGATCTTCGCGAGTGAACCACCGTGCAGCTGCCAATTCAGTCATCTCGTCCTCGGTCCAGACCTTCCGCTTCTTCTTGGGCTTCAGGGACTTCTGCTTCATCTTGCGTTTCCCGTTCGCGTTGCTCTCCCCAGGACGCTCTCCCTCAAGTTCGGTGTTGTCCACGTCCTGATCCGCGTCACTGTCCACCGTGTCGATTGAAGCATCCGAGTCGGCCTCGCTGTCACTGCTCTCGTACGCCCAGAACTCCTCCGGCTCGGATTCCGAGCTCTCGATAGGCTCAGTTTCAGGTTCCGCGCAGGTGTGGTTGTCTGGATCGCCAAATGGCTCGCCACCACGCGTCTCAAGATTCTCGTTCCGAATGCGAGCACGACGGTCGCCCCGCTCCTGGCGACTCTTCATCCAGACGACGTAGGGAGGGTCCTGCACGGGGACTTCCGGTTCCGTCGCGACAGCCTTCTTGCCCTTCTTGATAGCCTTGCGCGTGGGAGCCATAAGGGAGAGAGCTGCAGAGGTGAATCCGAGAGGAGGAGCGAGCGTGGGAAGTGTATAAATGGAAGACGTGAGAGGCAAACATTAGATCTCGCGTTTATAGTAACTACGCTCCAGTGTGTTCAGTGGGATGGCTAAGCTAGGGACGGAGGTGACGGGCAGAGTCGGACGTTGCGTTACGCGCCTAATTTTGGTGAGATCTGTTAGAATTATATATATTGTAGCATGCTAAGCACATGTGACTGTACACCAATTGTGGTGTACAGTTGGGTTGGGACTACACCCAACATTGGGTGTAGCCTTGCACTTTGGGGTGCCAATCCACCCAATTGTGGTGGAGCCCCCAAATTGCAACCCTCTTGACTTTTTGGGTACCTCACTTCACAATTGAGGCCACCACAAGCCAAGTGGGCCTAGGGTTGCCACACTTCTTAGAAGTGTGGGCAACCCAACCCACCCCACCTATGGTTACCTCACTTCCCAAAGTGAGGCCAACCCAACCATAGGTTGGGTTCCTCCTTCCCTTCCAAGCTTCTCTTCCCAAACTATGTATGCTAGGTTTGCTCTCTAATCAAATCACTTGTTCAATTCACATCTTTCACAAGATCTGGAGTTGCAGCTCTTCGAATGTGCACAACGTAGGCTTTCGGTGAGCAATTCAGAGGTGTTGAGCGCAATTCGCATCTGACATTGACGGTTGTCAGTCTATCTGTTGAGCGCCAGTCCGTTTGAGATGGCGGGAGTAAATTCGCACGGTGGCATGCCAAAATTGGTGTTGGCCAATGAACACACTGGACGAGGGTCAGGAAATGTGGTAACTGTTGGTAAGAGAGAGCGTTTATAAAACCGTAGAAAATGGGGTCGTTGACCCGAGCTGCAATATAACAGCTCGGGTCTTCCTAGCTATTCGGAAAACCCAAAGGGCGGATGACCCAAGGTCCAGAATACGCCCATAGACGATTGAAGCCAGGAGAACAATGAAGAGTCAGCTCAGCAGTGACAGACATCCGAAGTAGCATACATCAGCAAATGATAGCTATCGCAACAGAATGTTCCCAGCAATCTCCCGCCTCTGTTAGGAGCGAAGAGTACGCCCGTGTTCGTTGTATACACTCCCATGCTGCTCCGTACCCTGAATTTGCCAGAGAGATGTCAAACTTGTGGATGTGCCTGCAGTAGCTGTTCCTGCCCTTGTCACATCTCCTGACCAGGAACAGATCCCCATTAAGGGCAACACATGCGTATCCACGGTTTTGGTAACCATAACATGCTGTGTGTTGGCATGTCAACCTGTGCTCGGCTCCTTTGATTGGCCGAAGGGAAGGCGGAGAGGAAGGTGGGTTCACCAAAAGGTTGGATGGAGAGGAGAACAAGTCATGAGAGGAAAGTGGCTGAAAGTTGCTGTGACCTTGCCTCCATAGCTTCCACGCATCAGTGCAAGGGTCATACACCAGTGGGAAATTAAAACACACCCACCCTCTTGACTCCAAACCCCCTCCTTCTCCCACTTGGCCTTCTGGTGCTTGCCATTCATCAGGTTCAGCTGCTGCACCACCGATCACACAGAGCCTGTTGTGAAGCACAGTTGTCTGGAATCCAGTTCGTGGAACAGGTAGACCAGCAGCTTCCCTCCACTCCAAGTTGATAGTGTGTTGAGGCTGTCTGGAAATAAGGCTGGTATTGGCGATACTGGTGCATTGACTGCTACTGCTGTTGAATGGTCTGATGGAGTTGCTGCTGCCGCTGCTGCTGCTACTCAAAATCGGAACATCGCACACGAAAAGCGTGTAGTTGGGGTCTGTGTCTTCTAACGGGGATGAACAACCCCCAAGAACGAACAGCCGGTTTCCAATGATCTGTGCGTGAGCTCCCTGTCTGGGTGCTGGAAGACTTGATGCTTGGAGCCAGCAATCCTGTCTCAAATCGAACACTTCAATCGAGGAAAGCACCTCATACCCGCTAGTAACACCTCCGATTACGAAAACCACGTCAGAAGAAGCACAGCACGCGAATCTGCTGCGTGGAGTTTTGAGCGAAGGAAGCGACCTTGATGTGTTTGTCAGGGGGTTATAGGAGTCAGCTGAAGCAGAGAAGGTCAAGTCAGTCATTATGCCTGTGTTGTCTATGGTCTGTCCGCCAATAACATAGATCGTATGACCGACTGAAGTCACTCCAAAATATTGCCGAGATGGAGGAAGACCGTTAAATGAACAAGGTAGTCTCTGCCATGTATGAAAAGCATAATAGATCAGGCCAGCCAAAAAGGGGAGTAAACCTTCACATGGATAACGTGATGAAAGAAGAACGGAAGTGAATCACTTGGCTGCATGACAGATGACTTCAAAAAATGAGGTCGCAATGAAGTCGCGAATGAAAGGTAAATAAGCGAGTGGACTACCAACCTGGCACTTGGTGGTAAGGGAGTCAAAAAGCTTGCAGAGCAATCCTCCATCAATTCGCCAAGTCAGAGTCACCAACCACTCCGTCGCTCTCCCCAGCTGACGTCTGAGATCCAAAAAGCTATCTGACGTCAGTAACTTCCTCCATTTTCCGCAAACCCCGCGGAGTCGCAGGCACCCAGGGTCCGACTCGGAGGACACGCGAGCTAGACATTGCAGCAAGAGCTCGTCCGGAAGGGATTGTAAGGGAAAGGCTGACCCTTCGCCGTGACTTCGCGCATCCATCTCAACGCGGCATCTAGAATCCAAAAAGGGCGTTAACGACGCCGATGCCTTTCCAGTGTCATAACTTCGATTTACCATAGACTTCAGCATTGATCCTGAAAAGCAGCAACATGCTCTTCGCTCAACCGCCGTATTCACACATACAAAATCCTGAGGAGAAAACGTGTACACCGACTTACCTTTTGTGTGTTGAGATAAGGGGTGGATTACATAGAAACGTTATTGCAGCTACGAACGCTACCCCCCTTGACAGGCGGCTTGTAAAATGGATTTGCTGCTGCTCTTTTTTCCACTACTGTAGCTTCCCTGCATCACTTCTGAATCAAAGCTTCAGGCAAACCACACAAGGAACTGCAACCACAAGGATCATCGAGGGCGCGTGTCTAGCCACCTGTACATGCGAAAAGGGTTCTACGGCTGCGATCGGTGGCCTGACATTGAGCCGAAAAGTGTCCGCGATTATTGAGTTGAACCAAGTCATTCTGATTAGCAATCTCCTAATGACTAGTCCTAAGAATTATTTCACCTCAATTCCTGGGTCTGCTTGTACACTACTTGATAACGGCACCAATCCACCAATGCGGCCACCATCCACTCTCAAATCTTTTCTACTCTAACGACTCTTAATTGATTTTGGCACAACGTACCATCTAGTCTCAAGTATCTGACCCCCCTCCACCTCCACTGCTACCACCAGCCACATCACCACCACTGCTATCCAGGCCAACTTGGGAACCAGGCATGGGTGCAGAACACGTGCGGATATGCGTCTTCAGCCTTGGGAGGTTCGGCTGCACGCTGCGGCACCGGTGGCACCGAAGCTCATGCCGAAGCAGATGCCGAGCCTCTTTCTCCAAGGCTCCTACAACCTCATCAGAAGCACCCAATCTTGACCTTGATCGTGGTGCAGCATCAGCATCTGCTACAGCTTTTCGAGATTCCTCACCTGCCAGCCTCTCCCCACTCCTACCCTCTCCATCGCCTGCTATTGCCAGCCCACCCAATGCCTCTGCTGCTGCTACAGCTGCACCCTCTGCCACAGCTGCACCACTCCCTTTTCCCGCTCCTGCCTCTGGAGCAACAGGGGGAGCCCTGGGGGAGGTTTCACCTGAGCCGGGAAAGAGGTTCTGTCCGGCTACAGAGGAGGCGATGTGGGTGGTCGGTAGCGCGGGCAGCACATGGCCGTGCTGCTCTATCTGGGAAATCACCTGATGGGTGTCAAGGAGTATGCAAGGAGGTTTTGGCAACAACAGAAAACAACACCGGGAACAATACGGGGAAATATTCAACAACACCTATCTAGGAAACAAGCCCCAAAACTGACAAACGGATACACGGTTGGTTGAGAGTACACAGCAGACATTCACCTAAGGGGCAACTTCCTGGAGGAAATTTACATATAGGAAAAAAAAAAAAGAAAGAAAAAAAGAAAAAGAAAAAAGAGATTATCATGTGGATGAAACTCACCTGGAGGGCATCGCGGAAGAAGGGCGAGGCGAAGGAGTTCCAATGCTTCTTGTGCTTCAGATGGGGCGAGTCCAGGTCCTGGCTTATGGCGTGCAGGTGCAGCTGGTGCATGGACGGTACCTGAGGCACGCAATCCACATGAATACACATAAACATAATGGTTGCAATTCGATCTAACAGAGAGAATCCATGTCCTCCCAACAGCCGGCATGCAGGTGCAGCTGGTGCATGGAGGGCACGTGAGGCACACAGCACGCATGCATGGATGCACTTTATGAATAGTAATGGGCTTGCATGGGCTGCTGAGGGCAGCTGGTGCATGGAGCCCATGCGTGGGCTGACAGAGCATGCAGGTTCACCTGGTGGAAGCCGAAACGGAAGCGCAGTGGCTGAGGTGGCGATGACCCCGCTGTTGTCACACCTGGTCCTGGGCCCCTCGTTATAGGCACAACCAGCCCTCCCTTCCCAGGCAGAGCCTTCTCCCTCACATTCTCGCCGCCTTCACTGCCTGCATCCCCCGCTGGCCGATCACCTGAAATAGCACCTGACACCTCTGGAGGCGCAGCATCAGGAGATTTTTCAGGTGGTTTCTGTGGCAAGCTGTCCTGTTGTGGTGTGGCGCGAGAGGCAGGAGCGGGGTTGGGTGCATTGCCGGATCCAAGGGTGGGGTTGGAGGAGGAGGAGGGTGAGACAGAGTGGGCCGCCCACAGCTGCCCCACTGTCAGCATGTGGCGCAGCAGAGGCAGATCGGCTGCTGTGGCGTCGATGATGCGATCCACACCGTCCGTTCGTGCGATCACCAGCAGATGGTGCCGGGCCTGGTGTGGAGTGAGGGGTAACAAGGGAAAGGATGGAGGGACAACGATCAGCCCACACCCAGACCTTTCAAACCTGAATCCAAAACCCTACGTTTAGCATTTCAAAAGGCAATGAGTTTCTCATCCAAGATGGATTATCCTTGGCAGCTGAGCTGATGCCGATGCTGATGCTGATGCTGATGCTGATGCGATTCTGATCCTGATGCTAATGCTGATGCGATGCAGATGCTGATGCTGATGCGATGCTGATGCGATGCAGATGCCGATGCTGATGCTGATGCTGATGCTGATGCTGATGCTGATGTGAGCTGATGCTAATGCTGATGTGAGCTGATGTATCTGATGCTGATGCTGATGCTGATGCTATGCTGATGCTGATGCTGATGCTGATGTGCTGATGCTGATGCTGATGCTGATGCTGATGCTGCTGATGCTGATGCTGATGCTATTGCTGATGCTGATGCTGATGCTGATGCTGATGCTATTTCTGATGCTGATGCTGATGCTGATGCTATTGCTGATGCTGATGCTATTGCTCATGCTGATGCTGATGCTGATGCTGATGCTGATGCTGATGCTATTGCTGATGCTGATGCTGATGCTGATGCTGATGCTGATGCTGATGCTGATGTTGATGCTGATTCTATTGCTGATGCTGATGCTGATGCTGATGCTATTGCTGATGCTGATGCTGATGCTGATGCTGATGCTGTTGCTGATGCTGATGCTGTTGCTGATGCTGATGCTGTTGCTGATGCTGATGCTAATGCTGATGCTGATGCTGATGCTAATGCTGATGCTGATGCTGATGCTGATGCGCTGATGCTGATGCTGATGCTGATGCTGATGCTGACGCTGATGCTGATGCTGATGCTATTGCTGATGCTGATGCTGATGCTGATGCTATTGCAGATGCTGATGCTGATGCTGATGCTGATGCTATTTCTGATTCTGATGCTGATGCTGATGCTGATGTGAGCTGATGCTGCTGTTGATGCTGATGCTAATGCTGATGCTGATGCTGATGCTGATGTGCTGATGCTGATGCTGATGCTGATGCTGATGCTATTGCTGATGCTGATGCCGATGCTGATGCTGATGCTGATGCTATTTCTGATGCTGATGCTGATGCTATTGCTGATGCTGATGCTGATGCTGATGCTAATGCTGATGCTGATGCTGATGCTATTTCTGAAGCTGATGCTGATGCTGATGCTGATGCTATTGCTGATGCTGATGCTATTGCTGATGCTGATGCCGATGCTGATGCTGATGCTGATGCTGATGCTATTTCGGATGCTGATGCTGATGCTGATGCTGATGCTAATGCTGATGCTGATGCTGATGCTATTGCTGATGCTGATGCCGATGCTGATGCTGATGCTGATGCTAATGCTGATGCTGATGCTGATTCTGATGCTGATGCTGATGCTGATGCTATTGCTGATGCTGATGCTATTTCTGATGCTGATGCTGATGCTGATGCTGCTGATGCTATTGCTGATGCTGATGCGATGCTGATGCGATGCTGATGCTCAGCAGTTCCTCACCCAATGCTGATCCCACTTACCACGAACGACCATTGACCACCACAGAGGCATCAGCAAGCAAAGTGAGTTTCGCGTCAACTCAAAAGTACAAAGGTCATCTCACCTTTTGAGAAGCAAGAGCTCACTCACCTTGGGGTACTTATCTCGGATCACCACCACACAGGCATCAGCAAACAGCACCACGTCGCCGTGCCTCTCAGGCCGCATCGCAATGTCCCTCAGCGCGTGCTTCCAGGAACCTTCCGCCCCACCATGCCCCTCCTTGCGCTTGCCGCCTCCGCCCCCTCCCCCTCCCCCTCCACTCCCTGCTCCTCCTGCGCTCCCACCTCCCCCTCGCATGTCACTTGCCCTTCCTCCTCCCCCTCCCCTCACTCCTCCACCATCACCCCCTCCACCAACCCCACCCCCACCACTGCCACTACCACCACCAGCACCCCCTCCTCCTGCTCCCCCTCCTCCTCCCCCTCCCCCTTTAGCTTCTCCCCCTCCTCCACCACCACCCGCATTTCCTCTTTCTTCTCCTCCCTTCTCGCTCCCTATCACACCCCTCCCCTCCCTCCTCTTCCACCACTGCACCCCTCCTCCAGAATCCCTCTCTCCCCTCACCCCGTCACCGCCCCCCTCTCTCCTCCCCCCTCCAACAACCCCACCTTCCGCACCTCTTCCCTCCTCCAAACTCCTTCCCTGAAGCATTTTCTCCCCTCCATCTCTGCCCCCATCAATCCACCCTACTCTCCCTTCCTCTCTCCCTCCTCTCCTCTCTTCCCTCCCGCTGTCTCGCCCCTCGTCTCTCTCCCCATCTCGCCCCTCTTCCTCCGCCACCCTATCAAGATTCGGTCGAAATGCTGTCCTGCCCCGGCCCACCCACAACCCCATCGCCTGATCCCCTCCCCCCCCCATAGCGCCCATCTGCGTCTCTCCTGCCGTCTGCCGGCCTGCACTGCCCTGCCGATCCAGGTCCCCAGGCGCACGGGGAAGGGGAGGGCGGGGAGGAGCAGCGTTTGAGACTGGGCGTGAGAGTGCTGCTGCTTCGCTCCTACTAGACGGCCCAGCCTGAGCCCTGACCTGAGCTCCAGCCTCGGCCCGAGCCTCCATCCCTGGCTGGGCCCGAGCCTGGGCCCCAGCCTGGGCTCTAGTCGGTGGGTGGGAGAAAGGCAGTGGTCCTGAGGCGGGTGTTGGTGCTACAGTGGAGTAGTCTGTTGCAGATAACGGCACCTGAGGTTCTGCTAGAGGCACCTGGCGCTCTGTTGTTACCACCTGGAGATCCACAGAGGGCACCTGAGCGGCTGGAGGAGAACCAGCAGCGCTTGGGGCATCTTCTGCTGCTGGTGCTGCTGGCACAAGTAACGCTATATTGTCATTGCCACTGGCACCACCAGCTGCAGCAGCAGCAGCATGAGAGTGAGCATGGGCATAATTCACACCACCTCTATCTAAGCTCTGCATGTTCCTCTCTACTCCACCAGCAGCAGCACCCCCTCCATCCGCCCTCATCTCCTCCATCTCTACCCCAGCCAACTCCTCTGCACCAATTCGAACCCCCAACTGACCCCCATCACCTTCCCTTCTCCTTGCTTCCCTCTCTCTACCATCACTATGCCCTTCCCTCCTCATACCCCCTCTACCATAGGACCCACCAGGCCCCCAGCCTTCACTTGTGGCACCTTTCGCCACAGCTGCCGCCGCAGCAGCTGCTGAGCTGTTGCCTCGCGACCAAAACCCCCGTTCGCCTCCCGCTGACGTGGAATCCGCTCTGGCTGACGTGGAATCAGCCCCAGCTGACGTAGAAGCGGTACCAGTGTCACTGCTGGGGGTGGTAGAAGTGGTGAAAGACATAACGGTGGTAGGGGAGGGAGCTTGGGCTACTAAGGCTCCTTCTGGCCTGCCTGCAGGGTCGAAGGCTTCTTTCCCCTTCTGCCACCGCTCGTGCTAGCGCTGCTGCTCGTGCGTCTGCCTCTGCTCGTGCCTCTGCTGCTGTTGCTTTCAACGGCACACCAGAAGCGGCAGCAGCAGCAGCAGCAGCAGTGCCACCACCACCACCATCACCCCCTCCTCCTGTTGGCATGCGAATCTCTTGCACCATCTGAGCCGTTGGATCAGCGGCCTCAGCCAGCATCCACGGCCAGGGAGGGTTGCTGGTGCTGTGGATCCACGCTATGCCTCTGCCTCTCCCCCGGGGGTGCCCCCTGTCCCATGCTGTCTTCTTTGTTGCTGTGCCTGCCGCTGCTCCGCCTGCCACTGCTGTGCTTGCTGCTGCTGCGTTTGATGCTGCTACTCCTGGTACTTCTGTGCCTGGTGCCCCAGCAGCAGCTGCTGCTGCTGCTATGGCGGCGGCAGCGGTGGCTGGTGCAGCCGCAGTTGTCGCTGCTAATGTTGCTGCTGCTGGCGGCTCTCCTGCCGGAGGTGTGACGGTGGTGTGAGCAGGAGCACTGGTGGGAGGAAGAGGAGGCAGAGGAGGCACCGTGCCAAAGCGACCCGTTGTCATTTCCACATCCCGTTCCTGCCGCTTAGCTTCGAGAAGGACGTCTGAAGCAGCCTCGGCATCAACCCGAACCTGGTGATCGGCCCTTCTCTTCCTGCCCCTCCCCATCAGCACTGCAAAGGCATCCCTTGCAGGTTCACCCTCCTTCCCCACTCCTGACACCTTCCTGCCTCCCTGCTGCTGCTGCTGCTGCTGCTGCCTAGCCTCCCCTCCTGATGTCTCACCTCCCGTTCTCAGTCCTCCTCCAACCCCCTCCTCCCCTTGCTTCTCCTCCTCCATTCCCTCCGCCTTCTCCTTTTCTTCAAGCTCCCTACTTCCCTCGCCTTCCCTCTCACCTCCCCCCTCCTCGCCCCTTCTCTTCTTACTCCCCATCCTCATCCTCTCATCGCCGTCGCCTCTCTCCCCATGCTCATCCTCAGCACGAGCTTTCCTCTTTCCCTTCCCATAACCATCTCCAGAACCGCTCCCTCTTCTCATCCCCACTCCGCCACCTGCCTCACCCTCCCATAACTCACCCTTGTCTCTCTCTTCTCCTCCCAAAGACCCTCTAACCTTCGTCCCTGCAAGCCGATCACATTCCTCCTCCACCCCCCTCACCATCCGTCCTTCTCCCCTCATCCCACCTGCTGCACCCAATCCGTCTTTCCCAACCAGACCTTCCCCCACAGCCCTCAAACCTCCTCGCCCTTCCACAACCCCTTCCATCCCTCTCTCCCCATCTCCACCCTGCTCTCTCACCCTCACTCTCTCCACTCCCTCCCCCTCTCCATCCCCCCTCTCCGCGCGCCCCTCCTCCCCCCCCTTGGCCAGCAGGCGGAACTCTCTAAAGAGCGCCCCATACGCGGACCTAAGCAGCCTCTCGCCCTCGTTATAGTCACCGTCTAGGCAGTTTGGGCGGCGGGGGTTCATATTGGGTCCCACCACGTGCACCACGTGCCTCACCCCCTCGCGCACACGCAGAGGGGAGGAGAGGGGCAGGGGCGCGGAGAGAACAGAGCCTGGGGAGAGGAGGAGGGGATGGGGTTGGGGAGGAGGGGAGAGCGGTTGGGAGAGCGGTTGGGACGAGGGAAGATCATGCGGTTCCTGCTGCAAGTGAGACTGGTGCACTTCCCCACTTGGTTTCTGCTGCGTTGTGTACTGCCTATGCCCCTCGTAGTCCCCATGCTGCTGCTGCGTCTGCTGCTCCCGCTGCTCTTGCTCTTGCTGTTGCTGCTCTTGCTGTTGCTGCTGCTCAAGACGTTCCTGCTTCTCCTGCGTTGCTGTCCCCTGCTGCTGCTGGGTCTCATTCCGTTGCCTCTGCTGCCGCTGTTGCTGCTGCCACTTGCGCCGTGTTGCCTCAATGAGCCCTGGGCCAGCAGCACTGTGAATGGCTGCGTTCACTCCGCCCCCACCTGGTAACAGGCGGCTGCACACACAGATAGACGCACCGTACAGCACAGCACAGAATAGTCAAGAATTCATTCCGTATAGTGTACTGACCAGTGCGGACAGTGGACAGATAATGGCCGCATGCAATCATGTGTACATTTGACAGCAAGGCTTATATCTTAAGGATGGACACCTTTGACAGCAAGGCTTATATCTGAAGGATGGACATGCACCAAATGTTCTTGCATGTGCCGATGCATGAGTACAAGCAGCAATCCATGCCATGCCACGTCATCATACCAGTTGGCCGAGTTCGCAATGACGTGGCATTCAATCCCGCCATCCGACCTCATCTTGGTGATATCCCCGGCATGCAGGATGAATCTGCCACGTGTGCTGTCATCCCACGTGTCCCTGTCAGTGCCTCTACCCGCCCTCCTACCCTCTTTACCCCCTTCTCCAGCAGCAGTGCCATCACACACATCGCCAGCCCCTGTACCAGTACCGCCCCTGCCACCACCTGCAACAGCAGCAACAGGAGGAGCAGCAGTGGTGGCCGCAACCGCAGCGACAGCACCAGCAGCTACAGCAGCTGCAGCAGGGGCAGCACCTTCAGCTCGGCCCTCTCCTGGCACTTCCCTAGCCACATGCCCTCGCCCCTCCTCCTCCCTCTCAGCCCTCCCCCCTCCTTCGGCTCCTCCCTCCCGACCAGGTTCAATGAACTGTCTCGCCTTGTCCTCTCCTTTCTCCCCACCATCCACTCCTCGTCTAAGCCGTCCAGATTCAACGAACGGCAGTCCCCTCTGGCGAGCCAGGCGCTTCACCCGCCTCAGCATGTCAGAGGAGGGGGAGAGGTCCACCAATACCAGGTCCAGGATTGGATGCCGCTCAACCGTGTCTTGTTTGGGAGGGGAATCAGAAACTGTAGACGATGTGTTGCCCCTGGCCGGCGATTCTTGTCTGTTTTCTGGATCTCCAGGCGGCGATGTTTGTCTCGTTTCTCCAGGTGCTGAAGGTCGTTCTTTACCTGCTGCTGCTGGAGGCTGTTCGTGTCTAGTGCTGGAACCGTTATTGTCACCTCCGTTTCCATTCACGCTGCAGCTGCCCATGCCACTGGCACCGTTACTGTCACCGTTCCCATTGCCGTTCCCCCCTTGCCTCCGTGCATCCCTTACAGCAGCAGCAGCAGCAGCAACAGCAGCGGCAGCAGCACTAGCACAAACGCCAGCACCAACAACCCCAGCAGCAGCAGCGGCAGCTCCAGCACTACTTGTAACCACCCCTTCCAACCTGCTTCCTTCTTTCTCTCCCCCCCCCACACCACCCTCACCAACCACACCACCCTCACGTTCGCTACCACCCTCCCCATCCACCCTGCCTTCACCCGCACTCCTGGCAGTGGTGCTGCCGTGGCTGCTACCCCCGTTGCGCCAGAGGAACTCAGTCACGCAGTCAAGCACCACTGCGGCCGCCCTCTCCCTGTCGAACTTGAAATCAGCTGTTGAGATGGACGGAAACGCCAGCACCCACCGCCCTGCTGCCTGCTGCTGCTGCGCTTGTTGCTGCTGTTGGGGGGGCTGTGGCCGCTGCTGTTGCTCCTCCTCGTCTTGCTCGTCACCCTTCTCCTCTCCCCTGTTTCCATGCACCTTCCAGTGCCCTCTGCGCTCCTGCTTCTGCTGCTCCTGCTCGCCCTCCTTGCCTCCTCCCTCCCCTCCTCGTGTCTGCCCCTCGTTCTTCTTGGCCCCCTCGTTAGCAGCAGGAGCAAACTGCTCACATCCGTCTTGCCTCAACCCATGCGAGCCCTCTAGACTGCCATGTTCTTGCACATGTCGCCACTCACCCCCCTCTCCTCGGCCCTCCACCCGTCCATCCACGAGCCCTTCCCCCCGCGCATCCATAAGGCCCTCCCCCCGCCCGTCCACGAAGCCTGCACCCTAGAAGCAGCGGTAGCACGCGGGGCAGTGGGAGAGGGAGACGGCGGGGGCGAAGGGCGAGGGTGAGAGAGTGAGAGCGGAGCACTCCTGGAAGAAAAGCGGCACACGTGACCTTGCTTTATAAGATGTCACCGGAGCAGAGTTTTGTCGAGATACCTCGAAAAGAAGAAGTGGGAGAAAGATGGGAGTCTGGGGTTGGACGTTAAAAGCGAGGGATGGAAGAGTGAGTGAAAGGGTGCCAGTGGGAAGGGAATGTCCTCCCACCTGCGTTTCGCTCGCTATCCGTGTGCACTCGTCTTCTCTTCCACCATCGCTCCATTTCGCACTTCTCCCGCTCCTGCTGCTTCTCCTGCAGTTGCTGCCGCTGCTGCCTCAGCCTCTGTTCTTCGAGCTCCTGCTTCCGCTGCTCCTCCTTCTCGCTCTGTTCTGCTTCTGCCGTCGCGTCCCCATGTTTCTCGCATCTCCATCCATCAAGCTCATCTCTCCTCCCTCCGCTGCTGCCCATCCCTGCATCCCCGTTAATAGCAGCTTCCTGTTGTGGTTTGGCACGGAAAAACCGCCTCACATCAGATACTCCAGCCTGTGAAGTACTATGATCGCCTACTCTACTTGTGCCCACATTCCTACCTTCCGTTGCTCTACTTGCCACTGCCTGTGCTGCAGGAACAGCAGCAGCTGCAGCCGCAGCTACAGCAGCACGCGCCTCTACTGCTCCCTCGCCTAAGTCTACCCTATTCGCCGAACCTAGACTCTGACCAAACCACATGGTTCGAACTTGCTTCTTCTCCTCTTCTTCTCGGTTTCCCAGTGCCTTTTGCTGCTCTCTCTCCCCTCCTGCTCCCTCTTTCGCCCGTCTCTCCCTATCCCCATCGCCCCCCATTTCTCTTCTTCCCTCTACCACCGTCCCCACTCCCTCCCCATCCCACTTCTTCTCACAACCCTTCACTAGATCCATCCCCTCCCCGTCCCCATACCCTCCTCTCCCTCCCCCACCCTCCGCCACACTCCCTTCCCCCTCCCCTTCTCCCTCCACATTCCCCTCCCCATGCCCCTCCCTCTTCCCTCCTGCTGGTTGCTCCTCGGTCCCTGGCGTGGCAGCAGAAAAGGGAGGATTAGATCCCAACACACGAGACGCACCTATAGAAGATGGGAGTGGAGAAGCAGCAGCAGAGAGAGGAGCAGTAGCAGCAGCAGCACGGCTACACGCTATGGCGTGGGAAGGTGCGTCTCTGCTCACCCGCTCTCTATCTGCAGGCCCAGGCCCATAAACACGCCCCGGGCCCTCCGGTCCCCCCTGCCTCGCTCCCACTGCTCCCTGTCCCTGCGCTTGCGCCTCTTCTCCCCCTCTCCGCTGCTCCAGCTGCATCTCCCGTACCCGTGCGTCTAGCTCCTCTTCCCTTGGTCCTTGCTGCATCAGCACACCAGGAACCTCTGCAGCGGCACCACCAGCAGCACCACCAGCAGCAGCACCACCAGGGCCACCATTGCCACTAACAGTGATATCCGAGGAGCTAAGGGAGCGGTAGAAGGAGAGCGCCTGGTCGACTTGGGCGTCGGTGCGGCACACAGTGACGCGCTGAAAGCCCTCTGCTGCAGCAGGGGGCTCGCGCATCTTCATCTGGTGCCGTATGATGCTCGCCGCCCTGGGACCCTGCGGGATGGAGTGGGGAGACGACGGGAAGAGAGGCAGAGAGGGGTGCCAGTTATGATGGTACAGGCTCATGGTTATGCTTGTTTTGCTCTGGGAGATCTCAAAGGTATCACAAGCACGGCCCACGGTTACATTCCAATGACTCTCACTCATCCTCATGTCTGTCAGAAATCCCTCTCACTCACCTGCACGCCGCCTTCGTGGTTGACTCGGTTGACCGCGCGCTGCACGACGAGCGCCGTGGGGAGCTCGAACACGAGCACGTGCGACTGCGCGTTGCACGTGCGCGCGAGCGCGAGGAATTCGGCGCGCTGCTCCACGCTCATGTTGCAGCGGTCCAGCACCACGCTCGCCCCGGACAGCAGGTGGCGTCGCACCTGCGAGGTGAGTGAAGGGAGAGGGAGAAAGAAACGAGGTAAGGGGGG